AACATCGGTCCTTTGGAGGGGTCACAGCGCTGGCCCTCTGGAGATGTGCCTCGGCCGTAACGGGCAGGACAGTGGCCTGGCAGCTGGCCTTGGCCGCCTGGCTCCTCTCGTTATTCTCATTAGTGGGCCATGTCCCCACGCACAGGGCAAGCTCTGCGGGCACAGTGCTGGGCCTGCAATTGGGTGAAGAAGGAAGGTTTTTTTTTAGCACAGTGAGAGCACAGAGGCAGAGCCTGCTGCCCCACGACAGCACCACCGGACACACAGGACACGCTGGGCGCATGGACAGCGTCCTGCTGGCCTGACGCTGGCAACCCCAACGTTGCATCTCCAGCCCAGAGGTCCTCTGGCCCCAGACCCAGAAGGAAGAGGGCCCGGCTCGGATCCCAGGGCTGGGGCTGAAACCTGGGGGGTCTGACAACCTCCCCCCCAGAATGTCCAATTGGTATCCAGCATGACGCACTCCAATCAGAGCACCCATCGTCCCCCGGTCTGCTCCTCCCACAGACTCCCCAGCTCATTCCTGTCACCGCCATCCTCCGAGATGCTGAGCTGGTGTCCGTCCTCTCCCCCCTCCACTCTCCAGCAGACACCACTTGGCTGTCACCTCCACAGGGCCGGGGTCCACCTGGGACATGACCCACACCCTCATTCCTTTGGGGTCTGAGCCCTGGTTACTATTTTCCTCAGGCTGGGGGAGCTGCACAGCCCTTTCATAGTAACCGTTGTTCAGGGGGCACCGTGGTGCCAACGGGCCCTGAATTCCACGTGTGTGACCTGCCTCCTCCTGCCGATGGGGACAACCGGCCTGGACAGAATCATGGCTCCTGTCTGACACTCCCTGGGCCTGGGGGGCTCAGAACGCCCGGGAGGCAGCAGCAGCTCAGTTCAGTGAGACTCCGCATGTGCCCTGTGAGTGTACCCCTTGGGGAGGGGACCTCTAACCCTGCAGAACCCAGAGGGGCGGAGGCACAGTTTCCCGGTGGGTCAGCCTGTGCCCTGGGCCCGGGATGCTCCGGCCCTTCCCGTAGATGTGGTTCTGCGCGTCTCATTCCTCAGACTGCATCCGGCTGGGCGGCGCCCGCGGCTGTGCCCTTGGGAAGCTGGTCCTGCGTCCGTGGAGCAAGGACCTCCGGGACGCTGTGGCGGGCTGCGCGGGACTCCACACCCCGTACGCGCCGAGATGGAGGTGCGGCCTCTGTGCCAAGGGGTCAAGTCCACACCTGAGCAGGTACGTGAGGACTGTCCCTTACAGAAGGGCCCAGTGTGGTCAATCTGCCACCAGGTGGCGGTTTCTTCTGGAAAATGTGCCATACTGGGGGCTTAGTGTGGTCTGTGTGGCTTGCGGGGAGGACACTCGGAGGCGGCAGTAGCCAGATCGACCTGAGCAGGTGCGTGTCCACCGTCCTGGTCCCGGCATGCCAGCGTGACCCCTCATGCCAGTGCTGGGTAGCCCGTACCAGGAGCTTGCTAAACCACTTCTTCCCAATAGATGCTTCCTGGTAGTTGATGGCGTGTGATGCAAGGGCCTTACGCTGGGCCACAGTCACAGGTCCAGCCCCAAGCCAGAAGTCTCCACCAGGTCACTGTCCCTGTGGGCCCTGGCCAGCCCTCCAGGACATTGGCACGGCCCCTGAATGCACAGAGAGTCTCACCTGGGCCACTTTCCCACCCACTGGGGAGAAGTGTCCTCCGACTCAGCGCTAGCTCAGCAGACCCCAAGGCACTGCACCGGGGGCTGGCAGCTCACTACACCCCACCCCGCAGGCTCCCTCTTGAAGAGAGAGCCGAGCAGCTTCCCAGCCTGGGCCCGATGCTCCGTCCCCTGCCTTGCTTCCTGCCCTGGCCAGCACCTAGAGCCTGCACACTGGATACCTGTGACCACACAGGGCGTCGCTCTGTCGCAACGGCAGCGGGCTGCCCTGCGTTCAGCAGGTGCTCAGTAGGATGTGTGAGTAGATGGATGGACAGACGGCTCACTCAGTCAGGGGGTGACTCTCCTGGGTGAGGCGCTGCAGGCTCTGATGTTGGCAGCTGGTTAGGGTCTGTGCGAATGGGACTGGACACACCCAGCATGCCGGCTGTTTCAACAACGGAGAAAACGGAGCCCCAAGCCACTTCCTCTACTTGAGGGTCTGGGTGAATGGAGAGTAAGGGCCTGTCCTCTACCTCAACCCGCAGCCAGCCTTTCCCAGGGTTCCCCACTGTCCTGGGCCCCGGATACCCACTCTTTGGGTAGCTGCCCCCAGGGCAAGATGCCCCATGGACAGCCACATGGGCACCTGCCTTATTCACCCTGAATTGCCTTGGCTGGGCTGGGCCTGACCTAGAGGACACTTGGCCCCAAGCGCTGATGCATTTGCTGACCTCAGGGGCTTTGACCTCAGGGCTTGGCCAGGAGTGTGGCCATTAAAGAGGGGCACCTGCCCTTGTATGACCTTGGGTGGTGGTGTCCAGCTCTGTACAGGGCCCGCTGGTCCTACCCACCTCTTAGGGCAAACAGGCTAATAGGGTCGTGCATGTCAGTGCCGAGAGGGGGCTCTCACCACGTGGGCCACGCCGACCTCACCCTCTGGGCCAGCCCTGGCCCCCCTTCTGAAGGTCTGGGTTTACAGAGAGAGATCACCCCTTTTCAGGAACTCCCCTGAGTCTCAGCCTGGTCTGACGGAGCCCATCCCCCACTCCAGCAGCGTGGGGTGAGAGATGACCAGGGGAAGGAAGCTCGATTCCTGATAGCCGCACGGGGAACAGGCTTTAAAGGAGCCACCACGACACAGACTCCCCCTGTACTTGGCCCTCCATCCTGGGGGGTAAGCAGCACATATTCCCCAAGATGGGCACTAAGGCTGGGGAGGGGTCTCCCAGCCAGTGAGTGAGAGAGCCAGAGCCCACCCCAACTCCATTCAACTCCATCTCCTAAGCCCAGGGCAAGGGTGCGGGGCACACAGCCCTATTAGCCAGAGCGGCCTCTTGGTAGTTGGGAGGAGCAGACCTGGTGGAGTCCACTCTACAGGGAGCATGGGGCGCGGTGAGCCTTGACCCAGCACCAAAGGCACAGGGAGGCTTTGATGAGCGACGGGGCCCAGAGCCCTCGCTGAGCACCCCAGGAACTCTTCGCCTTGGCTTGTCTCACCACCCAGTGCCCAGTCCTGGCACAGAGCTAAACCAGTCACGTTGAGGCGTGGTGAAAAGGCAGCTGGGGGAGCTGGTAGGAGGAGCAGGCTCTGCTGGCAAATGGGAAGGGTACAGCCAGGTACTCCGAGAAGGCTTCTGGGAGGTGAGCTGGAGCCCGCACCCATCCCCCAGCACAGGCTGCAAGAAGTCGTGGAATAATGGGTCCACCGTGGCGAGGGTCTGGGGTCTCCTCCCTGCAACCAGCTTTGAGGAGGGGGTAGAGGGAGCCCAGCCCCCCACTCCCCAAAGTTTCTGAAGCACCTCTTGAGGCCAGTGGGAAGGGTGGCCCTGCAGGATCAGAAACTGCTGAGTGTAGCAGTGCCAGCGCCTGGGGTCTCGTCTGCAGCCTCTGTCCCAGCCTCGCAGCCCAGCTCACGCAGACACAGCATTGTCCTCGCGGTCCAGCTCACACGCAGACACAGCATCGTCCTCGCAGCCTGGCAGATGCGCGCTGGCACCGGGGTGGAGAGTCCCTGCCCCTCTCCCTCCGGCGCTGCTCCCTTGCTGTCTGATGTGTGTGTGTCTAACTGCCGTATTGAGGCCCCAGACTGACGCGGGTGGCTGTTTCCTTGGTCTGTGGGTGTCTGTGTATGTGTTGTGGGCGTGTCTGTCTGTCTGGCTGTGAGTGTCTCCAGCTGAATCTGTCCTTGACCCTGCCTAGCTGAACGTGCCTGGGGGGAGGGGCGCTCCCTCCCTTCACCTCTCCATCCCCGCCGCCGGCGCTAACGCAGCTGCTGCGGCGCTGCTTGGTTGCGCCCAAGCGCAGTGACCTCCTCTGTCCATGCAGCAGTGACCACCCCACTGTGCTGTCCGCCAGGGGGGTCGCAGCTGGGCTTCGAGCTGCTGACCATTCTCCCTCAACCTGGGGACCCCTCAGAGCTCTGGGTGGGCGCGCTCCCCTCCTGGCGGGGTCCGCTGGCTCCCCATCTTTCCTTATGTAACTCCACATCTGTCTGCGCCTTGTAGGTCACCCTGGACCCTACATTGAGTCCTGCCCACGGGGAGACTGAGACCCAGAGTCCCACGCAGATGGGGGAGAGTGGACCCCTGGCCAGAGCACGGGATCTCAGAGACCCCTCCCAATTTTTCTCTTTAAGAAGCTCCTTCCCTCAGACCCGCTGGCTTCAAGGATGAATGAGGAGGGGTCCCGCTGGGCAAGTTCCCCTGAGCGCGGGTGCAGGTATTTCCCTCACCACCATTCCAGGTCCCTACAGGCATCCCGGCTCCGGAAGAGGGCCGGCCAGGGATCACCGAAGCCGAGGGCACGGGGCAGGCCGGCGCGCACGGGCCGGCTGACAGCGGGCGAGCCCCCAGCCCCGCCCCCGCCGCTCCCAGGCCGGGCTCCCCGCCAGCCGCCGTGCGCACCCGGCAGGGCTCCGGCGGCCGGCGGGCACGCGGCGCTGTCCGTGGTGCTGCCGGCGCCGGGTGGGGCGGGGGCGGGACGGGGGCGGGGCGAGGGCCGCAGCCAATGGCGGGGGCGCTGCGCCGGGCGCGGGGCGCGGGGGGCGGCGGACTGGGCGCCGGGCGCACTTGGCAGCGCGCTGCACTCGGGGCGCACAGAGGCTCCGGCAGAGGCTCGGGCTCCGGCTCCGCTCGGGCTGCAGCGGTAGTGCCGCTGACCACATTCGGCTTGGAGTCTGGCCCGGGCCCCTCTGCGCTGCCCTCCCAGGCCTCGGCGCCCGCGGACCATGCGCCGGGCACCCCCCCGGGATCCCGGCCGGGCCGAAAGCCCGCAAACACCAGGCTCCCGGGCCGGGACCCCTCCCAGCCGCCCAGCCGGAGGTCCGCGCCCTGTCCTGCGCCCCGGCGCCGCGTGAGCCGGCGGGGCCATGGAGCGCCCGCCACCCGACGGGTCGCTGAACGCGTCGGGGGCGCTGGCTGGAGAGGCGGCGGCGACGGCGGCGGGCGGGGCGCGCGGCTTCTCCGCCGCCTGGACCGCGGTGCTGGCCGCGCTCATGGCGCTGCTCATTGTGGCCACTGTGCTGGGCAACGCGCTGGTCATGCTCGCCTTCGTGGCCGACTCGAGCCTCCGCACCCAGAACAACTTCTTTCTGCTCAACCTCGCCATCTCCGACTTCCTCGTGGGTAAAGCCCCCAGCCCCCGTCCGAGTCCTGGGGCGCCCAGCCCGCCAGGCCAGCGGGAGCTACAGTACCTTTTGCACGGGCACCCGCCTCAGCAGGGGAAGTCGGGCTGGGGAGGGGGCGCCGGGGACTCGCGGGGCGGTGGGCGCGGGCGAAGTTCCTTGCCTCCCGCTGCGGTGCGGGGACTGGGGAGTGATGTTTCTGGGGAAGGGGCCGGAGCAGGCGGGCGCTCAGCGAGGCTCAAGGCGCAGCGGCCACGCGTGCAGCGCTGGCTCCTGCGGTAGCCAAACAAAGGCTGCAGCGGACTCAGGAGGCTGCAGGGCGCTGGGGGAAGGTTTGGGGGAGGGAACATGGAATGGGGGTTTTAGAGCTGTTGTGGGAGGGGGCCGAGGAAGGGCGGGGTGGGGTGGGGGAAATGCTGTCAGGAGAGCGCTCTCACGTGTCCGTGAGCAGCTGCGGGCTGGGGGGCGGGGCGCGCAGAGTGGGCCAGAGCACCAGACACCTGTTGGGGCTGCGAGGTGCGTCTGCCAGACGCTGGGAGACAGGCGTGGCGGCGGGAGCGGCTGGCGTGGCAGTGGCCAAGTGTCCTTTGAGTCAGGAAAAAGGCTTTCTTGGTTTCTGAGCTGAAGAGGAAAGGCTGTCCAAAGCCAGGACAGGCGCTGGGGTCCCGGGGGCCAGAGGAGAGGGCGGAAATTCTCCTTCCTCCCTTTGGGACTGGAGAGCTGGGCAGAAAGAAGCTGGGGAAGTACAGAGTCAGGATCAGGGGCGCCCGTGCCCAGAGGTCTCCACCCAGGAGCTTCCCTCCTGCACCCAAGTCCAGAAGACACCAGTGGGGCTGGAGCCGGGCAGGGGTCAAAGGCCAGTTCCAGGGCAGAGGGTGTGCCCAGGAGACCGGGTGGGTAAGGTGAAGGATGCTGCCAGAAAAGGTGGCCATGCCAGGTCCTGCCTGCGCTTGCCCTGTGGGGTCTGACCCCGGCCTTGGTCCAGCCGTGGCCCCCCGTGGCCCCCGTGGCCCACTGTGGCCCCGCTCTCCCACAGGAGCCTTCTGCATCCCGCTGTACGTGCCCTACGTGCTGACGGGCCGCTGGCCCTTCGGCCGGGGCCTCTGCAAGCTGTGGCTGGTGCTGGACTATCTGCTATGTACATGCTCCGTCTTCAACATCGTGCTCATTAGCTACGACCGGTTCCTGTCCGTCACCCGCGCTGTGAGTGTGGGGTGCGGGCGCCCACGCTCACTCCTAGGGGGAGGTGGTCAGGAGTGGCCCCAGGACGCACCCGGCAGGGGTGCCCACTTCTGAGTTGTGGGCAGTGTGCCAGGTGAGTTTGGTCCTTGCTAGCCTCACACCTGATGCACCAAGCACTCTGTACAGCCAGCTGTCCCCTTAGTAGCCATTGGCTGCCAGTAGACCGGTCCCGGGACAGGTGGGAGGCACCGTCTGGACCTGGCATCAGAAGCTTCTGAGGGAAGGAGGTCACTTCAGCCTCCTCTTTGGGACAGTCTGACGTCTTCGGAGCTGAGGGAGGATCTGAGCCAGAGGCCCTTGGTGGCACCCCCCACCATGTGTGTCTGCGTGTGTGTCTGTGTCTGTCTGCATGTGTGTGTGTGTGTCTGCATGTGTGTGCCTGCATGTGTGTCTGTGTGCATATGTCTGTGTGTCTGTGTCTATGCATGTCTGCATGTGTGTGTGCCTGCATGTGTGTGCCTGCATGTTTGTGTACGTCTGCGTGTGTGTCTGTGTGTGTCTGCATGTATGTCTCTGTGCGTGTCTGCGTGTGTCTCCGTGTGTGTCTGAGTGTGTGCATCCAGGAAGACAGGCGTCACTTCCTGGCTCTACAGTTGCCCTTGGGGTGAGTGGCCACTGGGAGTTGGGGCCCTGGGCTGCCTGGGCTTCCCATGGCAGTGCCACATGGGCATGCGGCCGGCAGCACCGTGGCAGGGGTCTCTCCTTGCCCTCTGTCTTCTCCTTGATGGCTTTATCTGGCACCCAGGGGCCCTCTGCTCAGAGGCCACGTGTCCTGCAGAGAGAGCCGGGGGACAGAGTGCTAAGAGCATGGGTCGGGTCATCGGGCCTGGGTCGAACGGCAGCTCGGCCCCTCAGCGGATCCCCCGGTTGTCCTTCCCTCCCTGAGCCACGGAGAAATGAAGTGGGGAGAGTGAGGGGGCTGGTGAAGATGAAGTCGGACGGCATCCAAGAGGTGCCGCGGAGCCTGGTGCAGCAGGCTCTTCAGGGGCAGGGACGGTGACAAGCACCCTTGGGGAGCCACAGTGGGGGATGGCAAACTTGCAGCCTGGCATTAGGACAGTGGGACGGGATTCACTGGGGAGGGGGCAGGAGCGGGGCAGAGGAGACAGGGGACAGGCATCCCTGCAGGTGCACAGAGGCCTAGAGGGAGCTCCCAGTCCTGCATTCTGGCTGCAGCTGGTGCCCGCCGACGGGCCTGGGCTCGGTCCCCTTCCCTCCTGACCGATCGTGTCCCCTGGCAGGTGTCTTACAGGGCCCAGCAGGGCGACACGCGGCAGGCGGTGTGGAAGATGGTGCTGGTGTGGGTGCTGGCCTTCCTGCTGTACGGGCCGGCCATCCTGAGCTGGGAGTACCTGTCGGGCAGCAGCTCCATCCCCGAGGGCCACTGCTACGCCGAGTTCTTCTACAACTGGTACTTCCTCATCACGGCCTCCACGCTCGAGTTCTTCACGCCCTTCCTCAGCGTCACCTTCTTCAACCTCAGCATCTACCTGAACATCCAGAAGCGCACCCGCGACCGGCTGGACGGGGTCCGAGAGGCCGCCGGCCCAGAGCCCCCGCTGGAGGCCCAGCCCTCTCCGCCAGCCGCGCCCGGCTGCTGGGGCTGCTGGCAGAAGGGGCGTGGGGAGGCCATGCCGCTGCACAGGTACCGGCCCGGGGTCGGCGAGGCGGCCCCTGGCACCGAGGCAGGGGAGGCGGCGCTGGGGGGCAGCGGAGGGGGCACCGCAGACTCTCCCACCTCCAGCTCGGGCAGCTCCTCACGGGGTGCGGAGCGGCCTCGCTCGCTCAAGAGGGGCTCCAAGCCCTCGTCAGCGTCGCTGGAGAAGCGCATGAAGATGGTGTCCCAGAGTATCACCCAGCGCTTCCGGCTGTCTCGGGACAAGAAGGTGGCCAAGTCGCTGGCTGTCATCGTGAGCATCTTTGGGCTCTGCTGGGCCCCGTACACACTCTTGATGATCATCCGAGCTGCCTGCCATGGCCGCTGTGTCCCCGACTACTGGTACGAGACCTCCTTCTGGCTGCTGTGGGCCAACTCCGCGGTCAACCCCGTCCTCTACCCGCTGTGCCATTACAGCTTTCGCCGCGCCTTCGCCAAGCTGCTGTGCCCCCACAAGCTCAAGGTGCAGCCCCACAGCTCCCTGGAGCACTGCTGGAAGTGAGCCGGCCCTCTGCCGCCCCGCCCCGCGCCCTGCTTCCCGGGCAGCCGCCTCCCTCCCTCCTGCTGGGTGTGAGCGCCTCGTCTTTGGCCCCCGCTGCATGCCATGGTGGCCGCTCTTAGACCACCTGTCCGCGGTGGAGGCAGCCTGGCGGGCGGGCCGACAGGCCCTTGCTGCCTGAACGGGAACACGGGTGGCCAGCCACACCACCCAAATCCTAGCTCCAGCCGAGGAGGGACAATCTAAGGGTCTCGGCTGCCAGGTCCACCCCCCGCAGTGTGACAACCAGTGGTGCCCACCCTTTGCAGTTACTGCTTAGGGTTCTTCCCAAAGCTAATGCTTGGTGTGTGCTCCAGTCTCCTGCACATGCACACACCTGTGCACACCTGTGCACACCTGCGCACCTGCCCTGGTCCAGACAAGCCCGGGCCGCCGGCTCTGCTGCTGTCTGCCTCCTGCTTAGGCCCGGGCCCAACTCCTTCAGCCCTCTTTCCTTCGACGCTCTCTGCCCCCAAGCTCACTGCTGTTCTCTGCTTCTCCATTCTGGGAGTTGCAAGAAGACAAAGAAGAAAACACATCTGTGAACTAGATGTTCCTTGGGTGTTTAATCAAGAGAGACAAGATTGCAGAGGAGCTCAGGGCAGGATTGGCAGGTGTGGGCTCCCACGCCCTCTCTCCTGCTGCTGTTTCCGGCTGAGCTGCGCCAGCTGCTTCTGCCCACCCTGCCCCCCGGCTAGGGTGCTGGGCCTGGCAGGCGGCTCTGAGTGGCCGAAGCCCGGACTCCTGCTTGGTCAGCAGGCTGCCAGCCGCTCCCTCTGCACCATTTCCTGGGGTGGACGGGTCAGAGGCCCGGCCCTGCCGAGGGTCCTGCGGCTCTCGGGGCAGTCGGAGGGGACCAGGCTGTCCCTAGTGGAGGGGCCGCTTTGCCACATCCCCTGCACCCCATGGGCACGCTGCATGCTCCGCTCCCCTGTGCCCACCGTGCCGGCCCTGCAGACTCTGAGGTCCACAGTAAAGTGTATTTTTATTGCTGCTGATTCTTGAGGACTCGGGGGCCCCAGGGAGACATGAGACCACAGGCCTGCCCCTCCCCCAGCCTTGGCCTCAGGGTTCTCTTCCTGGAGGAAGGGGGGGTGGATGCGGGGACTCTGCACGGGGGAGAAGAGAGCAGCCTGGCTGGCATGCCAGGGTTCAGTCCTGGGAAGGGACGGTGCCCAGCAGCACCCCGCCTGCTGGGCCCCAGCATCTGTTCAGGGGGACTCACTCCAGCCCCGGCCCCGTCTGAGGCAGCCTGCCCGCCCCAGGAGGAGATGCTCGCCCTTCTCGGCCCTGACCTTCCATCTGGAGAGCTTCCAGGGGGCGAGGGGGCAGAGGGAGGGCGTCTCGGGCAGAGGAGACGTCCTGTGCAATGGCCTGGAGGCAGGACTGAGGGCACTGGTGGAGAGAAAGACCTGACATGAGTCCAGTTGCTCCGCGGAGGGGCAGAGCCGGGCCTCACTCCAGGAACGGGGGCGAGACCAGCCCAGCTCCTTCCAGCCTCTCGTCTGTCCCCGCGGTGCTGGCCCTGCCTCCTGACCACACTCTCTTCCCACGCAGTCTCCTTCCCCACCAGTGCCCTGGGTCCCGCGGCCTCTTTGTGGCGGGGACAGGTCAGCGCAGACGCTGAGAACCACCTCTGCAGAGGGCGCCCTCCCCACAGCATTTACGATGACACCCCCCCCAGACCTATCACCCAGCTGTACCGCACTTTTATTCCCAAGACCCCTCAGCTGGCACCCGCCCCCTTGCTCACGCTCCCTGTCCTATGGGGACCCCTCTGGTCCCGGCAGGCCCCTCCCTAGGGACCAGAGAAAGGGGCTCCCTGGAGGCTGGGTGCTGCCGTGAGCAGAGGGTGCAGGGCAGTGGGCGCTGCCGTCCGTGGGCAGTGGAGCTCAGGGAAGCCCGTGGGCCCTGTGGCGCTGGCTGCAGACTAGGCATTGGCCACCCTGCTGCCCCTCACAACCCAGGCTGAGCCCCCGCTGGCGTCCGTTTTGCAGCCCAGGGCCAGCTGAGCGGGGACAAAGGACCGTCCTCTGCTCTCCGCAGCAGCAGCAGCAGCAGCGGGCACCTCCGGGCAGCCGGCACAGCCAGAGCCCTCGCCGCCCTCCGCCAGCCCCGCCAAATGGCTACAAATTGGAGGATAAAAGCACAGGCTTTCAAGCAATTTTGCCTTCAATCTCTGGAAAGTGCCGCTCCCGCTCCTGCGCGGGGTGGGGGAGGAGAGAAGAAAGTCACCGAGCAGATTGGTCTGGCCCCGCAGCAAACAAACACGCCGGGGGGCCTTTCTCCTCAAACCCCACACTGGCAGACAAAGCAGTGTCTCTCCCCAGAACCCCACATTAGGCAGACAAAGCAGCGCCTTTCCCCAGTGCCGCGCTGTGGATGTTTATTGAGCACCTACTGTGTGCCGGACCAGCCGCCAGGAGGCACATGCACACCTGGCAAAGTGGGGCCGTGCCCACGGGGTTGAGGGCTGCAGGGCAGTAGACAGCAGAGGACCCAGGGGAGGGGTGACCCAGCTCACATGCCAAGGGAGCCTCCCTGAGAAGGAGGCCCCTCCCTCGGTCCACATCCACTGAGCGGGATCGGCCTGGGGAGGAGCCCCAGGGGCTTGGCTGTGGCACTCACAGTGCCCTGGGTGCAGCGGATGACCTGGCTCCGAGCAGGGCCACCTGCCAGCCCTCCGGAGGCAGGAACGGCTGTAGCCAGGCTGGTGGGGCTGAGGGGCTCAGGATTGGGGGCCTTTTGGCTGGGCCCCTTGGGCTGGCACGGGCTGCTTGTGTCCTGGTGCCAGCTCTGGAGGTGCCCCAGGAGCAGCTTCTGAGTGAAGCTGAGTGCTGAGTGAAGGCCCTTCCCAGCCTGGAATAAAGACCCTAGATTTTCAGGGTGCCCAGCAGGCATCTGATTCTTCCAAAAAAAAGGTCCAGTTAATCAACTGGCCATGGCCCTGTGGGGAGCCAGGGCCATGACCAGGGAGGGCTGGGCTTGCCCCAGCAGGGACTCCAGGCCCTGAGATGTGAGGGACACATGTGGCTGTCTGGCCACTACCTCCCTGCACCCCATCCCAGCCTGACCCTCGTGACTAGGTTTGGGGGTGCAAAGAAACTTCTCATCAATATTTTCTAGAGCACCCCATGTCCTCGTAGCCACCCCGAGGGGTGCTTACACTTCTATGCAGACAGGGGAACTGGGACTCCAGAGATGGGGTGACACCCCCACTCCCTTCAGCTGTGGGGCCAGGACTCCACCCACCCACTCCCCTGGGTTCTCCCCTAGGTTCCATGGGACCAGCAGCGTGTGAACTGGTCCCCCAGCGCTGCACCCTCGTGGGGGACCATCTTAGTGTCCCCCCGGGATTTGGGAGCAGAAGGGAGATGTCTTGGAGGCGCACCCCAGGAGGGCTCTGGGAGCCTGGGCTCTGTGGGCTGGCAGGAGAGCTGCCCCCGGGGAGCGGGCACCGTGTCCGGAGGCAGTGCCCCAGTCTGAAGTTTGCCAGACCAGTCTCGAGAGCACAAACACGTCCTCCCGGAGAGCAGGGAAGAGGACAGCTCCGGGCGTGAGGAGGGCTCGGGGCTGCACTGGCTAAAGCCCTCTGGACTCAGCCACAGGCGTCCCACCCGCACAGGCCGAGTGGCGACCTGGAGTGAGCCCAGCAAACCCTGGCTGAAGCGGAGCCGCAGCAGTGGGGCGGCCCTCCCCCGTCCTGGAACACAGCAGCCCCGTCGCTGCACACGGGGGGAGGGGGGAACGCGGGGAAGGGTCGCGCCCCAGCTGCAGACCTGCACCCCTGAAAGCCCGTGAGCGGTGTGCTGACCTCAGGAACAGAAGACATCCAGAGATTCTCTTCCCGCACCCCCCCCCCGAAGGGCCTCCAGGGATGAGTCAGGAGCACTGGACTTTATTTGGGGAAACTAGTCGCAGAGCATTTTGCTGGAGGACGAGGGCAGCAGCGCTGTCCCCTCCAGGCCCGAGTCCGCGAGAGCGCAGTGGGCAGGGTCGCCTCTGGAGCACCCAGCCTCTTAACTCCTGCAGAGAGAACCGCCCTGGCCTGGGGCCTGTGCCGCAGGGGGAAGCAGGGGGAGCTGACCGAAGGCTGGCGGCAGTGCAGCCCGGCAGTCTCTCTGACGCCAGCAGTGGGGGCCAAGCCCACGTCCTCTCGGAGCCCGGCCACCAGCAGCTCACAAGTCGCTGCACAGACGAGATCGGAAGCCGCGCTCCGGGCGGATATTGGGTGCACTCAGTCGTGAAGCCAGCGCGCGCTCGGCTCCGGAGCTCGGCACAGCCTGAGGACAGCGGGCAGCGCCTCGCTGCTCGGACATGGCCTCCAAGCAGAGCAGGGTGCCTGTCCAGTCTCTGCGGGCGTGGGGACAGCTGAGGACTCGCAGGCCCAGCTGTGACAGCTGCTCGCGTGCGGGTTGGCGCCTCTGGCTCCAGTCGCACCCTCTGGTCTCCCTACAAACCCGACAGCACTGTCCTCATTGCTCAGGGTGCTCGTCACAGCGACAAGCCCACCTCGGTGTTGGAGGGCCGGCTGCTGGCACAGGAGCACGGGAGCGGCCCGGCTGAGCGTGAGGAGCCCATGCTACCAGCTCAGGGGCTGGCGGCCCCGCGCCAGCTCGGCGGCTGCGTGCTGGTCATGCAGCTCCTTGATGCGCAGCAGCAGCTCCTCCAGGTTCTCGCCCGTGGCCGCCGACAGGGCGATGGCGCCTCCGCCCAGGCGGGCCTGCAGCTCGGGCAGGTTGGCCCTTGCCTGCGGGAGGTCAATCTTGTTGGCGACGATGACGTGAGGTCGCTCAGACAGGCCCCGCTCGTACTTCTCCAGCTCGAACCTCAGGTCCTCCACCTGGGTCCAGGGCTCGGGCAGCGCCAGGTCCACCACGAACAGCAGGAAGCCGCAGCGCTCGATGTGCCGGAGGAAGGCCAGCCCCAGGCCCCGGTTCCGGTGTGCGCCTCGGATGATGCCCGGTACGTCGGCCACTGTGGAGACAGCGCCCCCGACACTAAGACTTCCTCTCAAGGAACACCTGCGCCCACGTCGACCGTTACAGCCTCGGTGACGCATCAGGCCCATCGCCACCACGACTTTCAGCTTTGAGCTTCACAAACCGCCTAGAAATACCTGGTGACAGGTACGGAGACGGACCCATCTGATAAGGAATTACGCATTCACCGGAGTTACATATTCTAGTCTTTCTGGCTTCAAAAATGATTTAAAGGGGGAACCAGCTTCTTGTAACCATCAGTAACTCGATTACGGATGGACATCATCAGAGAGCGCCGGCCAGCAGGAGGAGCCACAGAAACAGCACTACCTGCCAGCAGGCATGTGTTGTTTTTTATCCTCACCCGAGGACATTTTTCCATTTTTTGTTCAGATAGAGTGGGAGGGAGAGAGGGGGGGGAGAGAGAGAGAGAAACATCGATGTGAAAGGGACACATCGAGTGGCTGCCACCCGCACGACCAACCAGGGCCGGGGACAAATTGCAACCGAGGTACGTGCCCTTAGTGGGAACCAAACCCGGGTCTCTCTGTACCGCAGGCTGACGCTCCAACCGCTGAGCCAAACCGGCAAGGGCCAAGCATGTGTTTTTAATGGGTACATCATCTTCTGGGAGAGCTTCCTTCTCTCAGAATGGTACCCGAAAAGCTTTAGAATCACACACGGTCTCTAGGATGGCGCTGCCGAGCTCCCCAATGAAGAACAAAGGCAGCAGGCAGGGACACTGGCACCTGCTGAGGGCCCCTGCTGAGCGCACCTGCTGAGCGCACCTGCTGAGAGGGCCCCTGCTGAGCGCACCTGCTGAGGGCCCCTGCTGAGCGCACCTGCTGAGAGGGCCCCTGCTGAGTGCACCTGCTGAGCGCACCTGCTGAGCGCACCTGCTGAGAGAGCCCCTGCTGAGCGCACCTGCGACCTGCTGGTGGTCCTCGTAGTGCACGATGCCGACGTGGGGCTTCAACGTGGTGAAGGGGTAGGCGGCCACCGCGGGTTTTGCACGTGAAATGGCCCGGAGGAGCGAGGACTTGCCTGCGTTGGGGAATCCAACCTGCAAAACAGGGGGACACACTGCCACTTCCTGTGTGGGCGAGACCGGGACCACGGGTGCGGGCACAGCTCCTGTTCCAGGTCATAGGACGCAGACTGGAGAAAGATGAGCTGTTCTCTCCTGTTGCCGTCCCACCACCAGAAACTAGCTCTCCAGGGCTTCGTGTGCAGAGCGCCCCTGCCCGCCGGTGCTGCGGCGACACCCACCATGCCGGCGTGGGCCATGGCCCTGAGCTCCAGGAGGAGGACGCCCCCGCCCGCCGGGGCAGCGGCGACACCCACCATGCCGGCGTGGGCCATGGCCCTGAGCTCCAGGAGGAGGACGCCCCTGCCTGCCGGGGCAGCGGTGACACCCACCATGCCGGCGTGGGCCATGGCCTTGAGCTCCAGGAGGAGGACACCCCTGCCCGCCGGGGCAGCGGTGACACCCACCATGCCGGCGTGGGCCATGGCCCTGAGCTCCAGGAGGAGGACGCCCCTGCCCGCCGGGGCAGCGGTGACACCCACCATGCCAGCGTGGGCCATGGCCTTGAGCTCCAGGAGGAGGACGCCCCTGCCTGCCGGGGCAGCGGTGACACCCACCATGCCGGCGTGGGCCATGGCCCTGAGCTCCAGGAGGAGGACGCCCCTGCCCGCCGGGGCAGCGGTGACACCCACCATGCCAGCGTGGGCCATGGTCTTGAGCTCCAGAAAGAGGACGCGCTCCTGCCCGGGCTCCCCGGAGGTGCAGGTGACGGGCGCACGGTTGTCGTTGGCCAGGAAGAAGCGGTTGCCCTTTCCTCCTGCCCCGCCCCGAGCGGCGAGGTACTCGTCCCCTGGGCGTGACAGGTCAGCCACGACTTCGCCTCCCTCCTTCACTAAAGTGCCCACGGGGACCTGAAAAAGAACACAGCATCGGTCGCGCAGCAGGGGAGCAGGAAGACAGTGGCCGGACAGCCTGTTTTCCCAGTTCTGGAGGGGGTGGGGCAGTGCCACAGAGAGGGGCCCCTCCACAGAGCGGCTGAGTTCCAGGAAGAGGCCCCAGCCTCCAAAGGTTTCACGGGGCTGCTGACACCCTTGGAACTGGCCTTACACACCGTGTTGCTCACACCCGAGGTGAGCTGAGCTGGTGCGAGCACAGTGACCTCAGTGCTCAGAGGCCTGGGAGGGTGGGGACAGAGGGCAGCTTCTGGGCAGAGGCAAGAGGGACAGGGGACCCTGTGGATCCCCTCTTCGTGCAATGAAATGATTTTGAGATTTTTTCTGACCGGGTCACACACACAGGTGATTTAAAATCAGTATGAAGTTCAGGCTGGGGTTTGCTCTGTGGGAGATGCTGTGTGGTTCAGGCCACGGGCCCGTGGACCACGGCTTGGAACCTAAGGAGCCTGAGGGCTTAGACTCAGGCAGGGCGGGCTCTGCGGCGGGGGCTCACCCGGACGTGGAGGAGCGCGCCACTGCGCCCAAAGCAGTTCTTCCTGCCGCCGTGCTCTCCGTCAAAGCCCTGATACTGGGACAGGACCGAGGACAGGGACTTGACTTGCCGGTCAACTGAAAGTCAAGAGCAAGAACCTCCCTGTGCCTCTGTGTTAGAAACAAAGTCGGCTGCACCTTGTTAACTTTCTTTCGTCCCGTTGAGGGACACTAAGGATGCGCGTGGAAACCGGATGAGGGCAGAGGAGCTACTGAAGTAGCAATGTGCTGTTTTAAAAAGCTAAATCCTTATTTTTTTTAAAAATACTACAATTCCTGAAAAATTTTAAATTAGCCATAATGTCATCAATTGAGAAGTAGCTGCACTTTATTATGTTGTGAATGTTCACAATTTCAAAGTCGCTACATTGTATTGTTGTCATGTTTACTGAGTTTCCAGTTTATGGAGCATCTGTGCTCAAGATGTGCTGAGTCATCGACCTCCTGGTACTGACGTGGTAACACTCTCACCCTCTATCACTGCAGCCTCCCCTGGCTGGTCTGGCTCAGTGGTAGAGCGTCAGCCCACAGAACGATGAGTTGCGGGTTCGATTCCAGCCAAGGGCACATATCTCGGTTCTGATTCTTCCCCAGACCTGGCTGGGTCGTGCAGGAGGCGACCAGTCAATGTGTCCCTCTCACATCGATATTTCTCTCTCTCTTCCTTTCTCCCTCTATCTCCCTCCCACTCTATCTGCAGATAAATGGAAAAATATCTTGGGGTGAAGATAAAAAATAATAAAATAAAATATTTATATATAAAAAAATTATCTCTGCAGCCTCACGTTTCCAGACAGTAAGGCATCTCTGTGTACCTGAGGATTTTTTTAAAAACCTACTACCAAAGTTGGGTTTTGGTGTATCATTTAAACATGAACATTCACATATTTAACAAAAATGATGTCCACGCATCAATTTCTGAATTCGAATTCCGGTCAGATGAGAAGGTGGGAACGTTCTCCCCAGCACGTGCGGACACAGCACCCCGCCCAAGCGACCCCTCAGGGCACCTGCCTCTCAGGATGACGTGGCCGCCGTTGCCCCCGTCGCCACCATCAGGGCCCCCAAACTCCTTCCGGGGCTCGCTGTGGAAGCAGCTCACCCCGTCGCCTCCACGCCCCCCTCGGACAAGCACCCGGCGCTGGTCCACGAAATGCCGTTTCTGCAGAGAGCACAGTGCGCCCCGCCCGTTAGTAACGCTGCCGTCCGTCCTCAGAACCAGCAGCCTGGGAAATGCACCTCCCCTACCTACGTGGGCTCTAAAATGAGAAGCGATGGCGCCACCATCACCAGCCTCTCCTAAAATGCAAGTGGAAATAGTTCCCAGCAGACATGGACGCGGCCAGCACAGAAGACAGGCTCAGTAACAGCCTCAACAGGTGCAACTGGGGGAACAGGTTGCTTAGAAAACATGCCTTAGATGCAAGTTCTTCCCGCTTTTTACAGACACAAACACGGTGCTGAAGGGCGTTTTCTGCGGCCTGACAACAGGGCTGGTGTGAAAACGCTGCGATGCCAACAGAGGCCTTTGGGGGGGTCGCCTTCCAGGTTCCAGGGGGCAGAGTCCAGATAAGGACTGATAAGAGGCAGGTCACTGCTCAGTAACTATCTGCTCACACGACCAGGCAGCTGCCTGAGAAGCCAGGGCATGACATCGAGGTCGCCTCGGCCAGCCGTCCTGTGCTGGGACCTGTCTGCTCCCTGCACTGTGGGCACAGACAGACCGGCCAGCACCGGCCCCTGCACTGGACTCTTCAAGGCATCGCTCCTCCACCCACCACCTCACACGCAGATTCTTTAAAAAAGAAAAACGTTTTAAGGTTCTTTGGCACCACTACATGGAAAAACCATGAATTACTACTTAAAAAACCGTAATTTCACCCAGCAGGTGCGGCTCAGAGGTTGAGTGTCAGTCCATGCACTGGGCAGTCCCTGGTACGATTCCCAGACAGGGCGCATGCCCAAGTTGTGGGCCTGAGCCCCAGTGGGGGGCGTGCAGAGGCGGCCAATCGATGTTCTTGCTCAACGATGTTTCTATCTCTCTCTCCTTCCTCTCTCTCAAAATAAATCAATAAAGAAAACAACCACACAAAACTGTAATTTCGCCATATGCCAACACCGTCACAGCCAACCTGCCGGGGAGAGCGGACCAGCCCTGGGAAGGGCAAGCCCAGGCCCCATTTTCATGTGCTGGGCGCACGCAGTGCACGGAAACGCCTTGGACCACTGGCGGCTGGTCCACAGCACCTCTGCGGACCTGGAGCCCGGCTCAGGGGGCAAGGAGCTGGCCTAACCACAGCTTTTCTCCTACCGCAGGAGAGCTCGTGCCGGGCGCCGCAGCCAGGAGCGTGTGACACGTGCAGAAGGTCCCCGCTGTGGCCCCTTCCCTGCTCGGGCAGCTTCTCAGAGAGCTCAGGCCCCATCTCCTGTCAGCATTTTCAAGACCTACCTGTGTCCCTCCAATAACATGATCGGAATAAATGAAGAGGTGACCAGGAGAACTCAAAGCAGACCTGTGAAAGGGATGCTGGGACCAGCCCCTTCCCGGGCAGAAGCCTCACCAGCTTTTTCTCGGACAGCGGTTTCTTTCTGGAGGGCTCCTGGGCACCGTCTGCACAGCCGAGAGAGAGCAGCCTGGGGGCAGCACGCTGCGGGAGGAGCCAGCCCAGGACAGCCCGTGGGGACGGAGGCCAGCGCCCCAGGCCCTCGAACACGCCCTGTCGTCCGGCAGAGAAAAGCCTCGAAGACATCGTGGCTCCTAACAAAAGTCAAGTCAGCAAAACAAGGGACCTGGTGAGAATGTGGACAGAACAGACTGGACTCCCCGTGCCTGTTTCAAATCAGCCAGTGAGCCGGTGGCTGTGACCCTCCTGTCACCGGCCTCGCTGGGCCCCGAGTCATGAGTCACCTGCCCCCAGCAGCCCACAGCTACCCAGGGGCCAGTGTGTGTCCACAGAATGGATCATGAACCGCCCCCCACCCCCCCCCGGAATGTCAGGCACCTGCTGAATGAACCTACCACAAAGGACGTCGGAGTCTCACATCAAAGTTCCTGGAAAATGAAAGCACCCATTTCCTCAGATGCTGTGCTGTTATCTTGCAGTTTAAATGTCAAACTGGAGGTAAAACAGCTCTTCTAAAATAATCCAACAAGTAGAAGAAGAAATCAAGAGAAAAATTAGAAAATATTTTGAGCTGAGTGATCGTGAGGGTACAACATACCCAAGTTTATGGGACGTGGCTAACTCAGAGCTCAGAGGGGAACGAACAGGGGGACACGTGCCAAGACCCCCCAGTGGCACCTGAATCCCTGGACAGTATCGTACCCTACAGATACTATCTTCCCTTCTATACGTACACACCTGTGATTAAGTTCAATGGATAAATCAGACACAGTATGGGACTAACAACGAGTAATAATAAATGGAACCAGTCCAGCCGGTGGCTCAGTGGTCGAGCGCCGACCCTGCACCAGGAGGTCGTCAGTTCAATTCCTGGTCAGGGTACAGGCCCAGGTTGTGGGCCAGATCCCCAGTGGGGGGCGTGCAGGAGGCGGCCAATCGATGTTCTGATCAATGTTTCTGTCTCTCTCTCCCTCTCTAAAAAATCAATAATGGAAAAAAAAAAGCCCTGGCCAGTTTTGCTCAGTGGTTAGAGTGTTGGCCCGCAGACCAGAGAGTCCTGGGTTCGGTTCCCGCTAAGGGCATGTACATCGGTTGCAGTTTGTCCCCAGCACCGGCTGAGGTCATGCGGGTGACAACCAGTGGAGGTGTCTCTCTCACATCGATGTTTCTCTCTTCCTCCCTCCCTCCCTCCCGCTCTATCTGAAAATAAATGCAAAAATGTCCTCGGGTGAGGATAAAAAACCAACCAAACAAGAATAAATGAATAAAATGGAACCATTGTGACAACATGCTGTAATAAAAGTCATGTGATGGTGGTCTCTCCCTGTGACAGCTGAGGTGGCTGCTGAGTGACTAATGGGCGGGGAGCATGGAGACACTGGGCAAAGAGACGACTCACATCCTGGGTGGGATGGACAGGGACGACGAGGTTTCTTCACGCTGCTCAGAACAGCGTGCACTTTATTTTTTTTAATCCCCTGAGGACATTTTCCCATTTTTTGTTCAGACAGAGTGGGAGAGAGGGAGAGGGAGAAGGAGAGGGAAAAAGAGAGAGAGAGAGAGACATCAACGTGAAAGGGACACATCGAGTGGCTGCCACCTGCACGACCAACCAGGACCGGGGACAAACTGCAACTAAGGTACGAGCCCTTAGTGGGAACCGAACCCAGGTCTCTCTGGACCACAGGCCGACGTTCTAACCGCTGAGCCAAACCGGCCAGGGCAGCATGTACTTTAAAACCGATGAACTGGCCCTGGCCGGTTTGGCTCAGCGGTTAGAGCGTCGGCCTGCGGTCCGGAGAGACCCGGGTTCGGTTCCCGCTAAGGGCACATACTTCGGTTGCAGTTTGTCCCCGGCCCTGGTTGGTCGTGCGGTGGCGGCCACTTGATGTGTCCTTTTCATATCGATGTTTCTCTCTCTCTCTCTCTTCCTCTCTCTCCCTCCCACTCTATCTGTACAAAAAAATGGAAAAATGTCCTCGGGTGAGGATAAAAAACAAAACAAAACAAAAAAAAACCCGATGAACTGGTCCCGGCTGATTTGGCTCAGCAGTTAGAGAGTCAGTCCACGGACCAATGAGTCAAGGTCATGGCCATGTACCTCGGTTGCAGTTCATCGCCAGCCTTGGTCAGGGTCGTGCGGGAGGCAACCAGTTGATATGTCTTTCTAACGTCTACGTCTCTCTCTCTCTCTCAAGATATATAAAAAAAAATATCCTCAAGTGAGGATTGAAAAAACAAAAAACAAAAAATATCAATGAGTTGTTTATTGCTGAGATTTTTCCTTTAGCTTTTCTGAACGTCAGCTGACCTCAGGTAACAAACTGCGGAAAGCGAAACGGGGCAAAAACAACCATAGCGGTAAGTGCTTCTGTTAGTGAAGAAGGAAGACCTGAAATCAACCACCTAAGTTTCCAGGTCCAGAAACCAAAAAGAAAAGCAAAGTAAACAGAAAGAAGGAAACACTATGTAAAGACCAAAAACACACAAAACAGAAAACTGACGGGAAAACAGCAGCCAACTGGCCCGTGGAAAAACGCGCAAAACACCATGCGGGAGAAGACGGCCACGCAGTGACGGAGGCAGGGGCTGGAGCGATTCAGCTGCAAGACCAGGAATGGCCGCAGCCACCAGGGCAGAGGTGAGGAGGGTCCGCCCAGGTCCCAGCGGGAGCGCGGCCCTGCCACCGCCGGGCCCTCGGACATTGGCCTCCGGAGGAAGCGGGTCTGTGGTTCTCCGGAACAGCGGCCCCACGAAACGATGACAGATGCCCAGCTTGGCAGCCGGCTGAATGATCTGCTCGAGCCTCAGTGTCTTGGACAATGGAGTTCGTCACTGGTACTTAACCTGGCAGGACTGTGAGGGTTAAACGGATTAATGATGTGAAGCCTAACAAACAATTAACGGGAAAAGAAAATATAAGCAGAGGGGACAAACCCCTCGCTGGAGGGATCAAGAAAGGACACCACTCACAATGCCAGGAAGAGAAAAAGTGCCACCTGCTCGGGCCCTCAGGCACCTCAGGGCAGAGGACAGCAGGACAACCTACTGCGGACTCTGCCACCCCCAAACCGCACGCACTCCTGAGACGCACCTTCCCACGAAGACAGAAGACATAGAAAATCTGTCGCCAGTAACTGCTACCGGAGTTGAATTTGTTATAAAAGAACACACCCAGAAAGAAAGCTCCAGACTTGGGCTGTTTACTGGTAAATTCTATCAAGCATGCCAGGAAGAAGTACAGCAACCTCATGTGAATCTCCAGGAGACAGGGTGTGAGACCACGGCCAGCCCCTGTCATGAGGCCAGAGAAGCCCCGGTACCCAGATCTGACGTTGCGGGAAAGGCAACTGCGCCCCACGACCCTCAGGAATACAGAGGCAGGCAGTCCCCACCAAGTCGTGTCCTACCGCGTCCGGCCTGGGACGCAAGGTGTCGTCAGCAGTCGGATCTCACACTGGCTGCCGCACACCTGACAAAGATCACACTCCCTCCTGAGCAGGGAAATGAACCGAGAGTGGGAGGGGACGTCGTCAGCCTGACCGGGGCCACAGCCAGTGCACAGTGACTGGAGGGAGACTGAACTGCGGCTCCCCGGGTGGAAAGGCAAGGATGCCCTCACCCACCGCTTCTAGGCAACACTTTTAAAAAAATATATCTTTATTGATTTCTTAGAGAGGAAGGGAGAGGGAGAGAGAGAAAACTGATGTGAGAGGGAAACACAGATCGGCTGCCTCCTGCACGCCCCCTACTGGGGATGGAGCCCACTACCGGGCATGTGCCCTGACTGGGAATCGAACCGGGACCTCCCAGTCCATGGGACGATGCTCAACCACTGAGCCACACCGGCTGGGCATGTGCAACACTTTTAGACACTGTAATAAAGAATTTTAAAACAGCCCTGGCCAGTTGCTCAGTGATTAGAGCGTCGGCTCCCAGACTGAAGAATCTCAGGTTTGATTCCAGTCAAGGGCATGTACAGTACAGTCGGGGTTGTGGGGAGGCAATCGATTGATGTGTCTCTCTCACATCGATGCTTCTCTCTCTCCCTTCCTCCCTCCCACTCTATCTAAAAATCAATGGAAAAGTCTCCTTGGGTAAGGATTTTAAAAGAATTAAAAAAAAAAAGGACTTCCGGTCAAGAAGGTGGCGTAGGTAAACGCGGTATCGCGTCCTCCCACAACCACATCAAAGTTACAACTAAACTACAGAACAATCATCATTCAAAACCGCCTGAAATCAAGCTGAATGGAAGTCCTACAACTACGGAATTTAAAAAAGCAGCAGCTACATCCAGACTGGTAGGAGGGGTGGAGGGGACGGGCTGGTCCCACACCCACGTGTGGCGGATAAAAATCAGGAGGCTCCCGCGGCTGGGCAGCTCGAGGGGCGCCAGAGACACACAGGGAAGAACTGAGCTGTTTGGCACTGGAGCGAGGGCTGGAGAGGGGGCTTTCTCGGGGACAAATGTGCTGTAAGAGGCCTTTGTTCCTTTGGTGAGCCCTTCCCTGGGGTGGCAGACAGAAGCCATACCTGGGACTCCAGCAACGTGGCTCACACTGGTAGCCCCGCCCTGCTGACTCCCTGAGGCCCCGCCCCATCCCACCCAACTTTCAAGCCCACCCAAGCTGTTGCCACTTGCTTAACCATAGGATTGGCGGGTCTTGGATCCTGCTTCAGGTTTTTCCTAAATTCTTTCAAATGAGCAGCATGGGTCTCAGCGAGCCCCATACCTCTCATTAAGTAATACACTGAAATAAACACAGGGAGGCAGCCAAAATGAGGAGACAAAGAAACAGGTCCCAAATGAAAGAACAGAACAAAACCCCAATAAAAGAACTAAGCGAAAGGGAGATAAGCAGCCTAACAGATTCTGAGTTCAAAATACTGCTTATAAGGATGCTCAGTGAACTTAGTGAGAACCTCAGTGAACTTAGGGAGGGCCTCAAGAGCATAAAAAAGGACCAGTTAGAAATCATGGATACACAGTTAGAATTGAAGGAGGCATTAACTGAAATAAAGAATAATTTACACAGCTTCAATAATAGAGTATGTAAATCCAAGGAGCAAACCATCGATTTGGAATATAAGGAAGCAAAAAATCCCCAATCAAAACAGCAAAAAGAAAAAAGAATCCAAAAAAATGAGGATAGTGTAAGGAGCCTCTGGGACAACTTCAAGCGTGCCAACATTCGCATCTTGGGGGTCATCTTGGGGGTGCCCGAAGGAGAAGAGAGAACAAGAAATCGAAAACCTGTTTGAAACAATAATGGCAGAAAACTTCCCTAACTTGGTGAAGGAAGCAGACATACAAGTCCAGGAAGCACAGAGAGTCCCAAACAAGATGAACCCCAAGAGGCCCACACCAAGACACATCATCATCAAAATGCAAAAGGTTCAAGACAAAGAGAGAATCTTAAAAGCAGCAAGAGAAAGGCAGCTAGTTACCTACAAGGGAGTTCCCATTAGGCTATCAGCTGATTTCTCAAAAGAAACTTTGCAGGCCAGAAGGGAGTGGCAAGAAATATTCAGAGTGATGAAAACCAAGAACCTACAACCAAAATTACTCTATCCTGCAAAGCTGTCATTTAGAATCGATGGACATATAAAAACTTTCCCAGACAAGAAAAAGTTAAAGGAGTTCATCACTACCAAACTGTTATTATATGAAATGATGAAGGGTCTTTTTGAAGAAAAAGATAAAATGTATGAACAAACAAAATGGCAATGAATACATATCTATCAACAATGGAATCTACAAACAAAATGAACAGGTAGAACAGAAACATTCTCATAGATACAGAGAACATTTTGTTGGTTGCCAGTTGGGAGGGGGGTTGGGGGAATGGGTGAAAAAGGTGAAGGGATTAAGAAGCACAAATTCATTGCTAGACTGACAAACATCAAAGAGAAAGGGTTTGGGGGGTGGTGGGAAGAAGTAAACCAAAGAACTTATATGCATAACCAATGGACAGAGACAACAGTGTGGGAAAAGGTGGGAGGGGGGCGGGAGTGGGGAGGAGGGGGTCAATGGGTGAAAAATGTGGAACATATGTAATACATTTTACATCCAACAATAAAGATTTGAAAAAAAAAAAAAGAATTAAAAAAAAAAAGTAGTGACAAACTGCAGGTCTGATTGTTTGTGCAGAAACCTACACACTTGATTAGAACGCATGAGTGGACTTAGTGAGGCGGCAGGCTACAGGCTCACACACGCCGACTGCGTGGGCAGCACGAGCGGCCAACAACCCCACTGGTAGCAGTGCCAGGTACAAAGTTCCTGGAGATGAGTCCAATGGCGAACGTCCAAACCTCTGCCTACGACTTGCAGGATGCTGCTGCAGGTACCCTGCGGGCATGAGCTCACTCAGTCCTCGTAACAACTCTGTAAGAAATAAGGCCCTGGCCATTTTTGCTCAGTGGTTAGAGCATCGGCCCGAGGACCAAAGCATCACAGGTTCGATTCCAGTCAAGGGCACGTACCTCAGTTGCGGTTTGTCCCTGGCCCCGGCTGGGGTTGTGCGGGAGGCAACCAGTTGATGGGTCCCTCTCACCTCGATATTTCTCTCTCTTTCCCTCTCTCTCCCTCTCTCCCCTCTATCTGAAGATAAATAGAAAAATATCCTCGGGTGAGGATTAAAGAAAAAAGAAAAGAAGGAAACTGAGGCGAGAGAGGGGAAGTGACCTCCAAGGTCACGGTGCTGTGAGATGGGACGGGCAGGGTGGGGTGAGTGTGAGACAGGTTGTCAAGGGGAAAAACAACTCGCCGATCACCAACACGATCACCAACACGCAGCTGCGGTGCCGGGAGGCGGCTTCCCCACCCCGGTGACATGGAACTGAAGGGGGACCGCAGAGATGGCGGTCACTGGCAAAGCCAACCAGAACCTGACCTCTCCATCTGGTCCAATTAGGAGCACTGCCCCCTTCCGACTTGTTTGGAAAACCCACTCACTGCACGCGTACCCGCCAGGTGAGCCATCAGCTGTGTCTCACCTCGCTACCTGGACTTCATCTTCCTTCTAACGCTCTACCCGCTCTGTCCAATGAGGTACCCACCAGTCACATGTGGCTGCTAAGCTTAAATCAATTAAAAAACGTAAAAACTCAGCTGCCTGATCACCCAAGCCACATTCTGAGTGCTCACGGCCACGTGTGGCCAGTGGGTACCGAACCCGGCAGCACAGATGGGGACATGCCTGCCGCCACAGAAAGTCCACAGAAAGCACTGGTCCACCCTGATGGTCTGTGCAGTGGACTCCAACTCCTCTCCGGGCACCCGTTCACCCTGACAAGTAAGTGGGGTACAAAAGACAAGACTCTGCAAATCCCTGGTGGGAGTCGGGCAAACTGATTCCAGGATGGGGCTTTTCTAGACTGGAGAGCCCGCGGCAGGGACTGTACTTCAGACATGGCCCTTCTGATCCATCCAGTGTGACTCCTGGGCCACTGGGAGTTACTATGAGCCAGGAATCTCTGCTCAACGTGCATGGACATTTTTACGCGTACTCCTTACAACTGTGCAAGCGATTGTAGCGCACGTGGGTATCTCTTTCCTTTTCCAGACCCACTTTCGACCTTGTGCTTCTGAGGCCTGCCCTGCATGGCTCCCCTTGGCTGCAGTGCCCTCTGGCAGAGACTGGAGGGAGGAGCTGGAGGCCAGGAGAGCAACTTCCCTCTCTCACCTCTAATCCCCAGACCGAAGGGCAGCCCTCTCTGCACCGCTGTCTTCTATTAACTGCCCCTCCTGTCCTTATGCTTTGGCTGTCGAGGCTCCAGGTTAAAACACCACCTCTACACTCACACCTTTATTTATTTATTTATTTTTATCCTCACCCGAGGATATTTTTCCATTTTTTTGTACAGATAGAGTGGAAGGGAGAGAGAGGAAGGGAGAGAGAGAGAGAAACATCGACGTGAAAGAGACACATCGAGTGGCTGCCACCCACCCGCACGACCAACCAGGGCCGGGGACAAACTGCAACCGAAGTATGTGCCCTTAGTGGGAACCGAACCCGGGTCTCTCCGGACCGCAGGCCGACGCTCTAACCGCTGAGCCAAACTGGCCAGGGCTACACTCACACCTTTAAAACCATCATGAAGACCTGGCCGGTTTGGCTCAGCGGTGGGAGTGTTGGCCTGCGGACCAAAGAGCCACGGGTTCGATTCTGGTCAAGGGCATGTACCTCGGTTGCGGTTTGGTGCCCGGCCCTGGTCGATGTGTGTCTGTCACATCAATGTTTCTTCCTCCCACTCTGTCTAAAGATAAATGCAAAAATATCCTCGGGTGAGAACTTAAAAATAAATGAAATAAAAACCCTCCTGAAATTACCCTATGTGGTGGGGCTATGGCTCCTGACCCTGACATGTTTCATGCCCATTATAAAGCAAGGGACGCTGAGGCTCATGGGTTAAGTGACATGCTCAAAGCCACGGTGTCCTGGCCTCGGCAGGAATCTTCAATGTGAAGTAGCACACAACCACCTCCCAAGGATAATTTCCAGGGAATCCGTTTTCCGCGCCTTAACTTTATTTTTTATTTTTTTATCATCCTCACCCGAGGACATTTTTCCATTTTTTGTTCAGGTAGAGCGGGAGGGAGAGAGAGAGAGAGAAACATCGATGTCAAAGGGACACACCGAGTGGTCGCCACCCGCACAACCAACCAGGGCCGGGGCCAAACTGCAACCTAGGTACATGCCCTTAGCGGGAACCGAACCCGGGTCTCTGCAGACCGCAGGACGATGCCCGCGCCTTAACTTTTGCTGTTTTCTTTGCTAAAACAGATCTGTGTCTGCCTCCCCTTCCGGACTTCCGTGGTCCCCGCCTTCAGCCTTCCCAGAACAAAGGCCCCCTCTCCCAGGTGCGAGCAGGCGGCCTGTCCACGGATGTTCTGCGTGGAGCCCACAGACACGCCTCACTGCAAAAGGTGGCGAGGACTCGGTGGGAAACAACCCATCGACTGACAGCAGCCTTTGCATTAAAACTTGACAACTGTTCAACGAAATCAAAACCTGCGTGTGCGTCCAGCCAGTGTGGCTCAGTGGACTGCGCTGTCCCATGGACTGAGAGGCCCCCTTCGACTCAGGTCAGCGCTCGTGCCTGGTTGCGGGCTCGATCGCCAGTAGGGGGCGTGCAGGAGGCAGCCGGTCAATAACACTGATGCTCCTCTCCCTCCCTTCCTGTCTAAAAACAAACAAACAAAAACAAACAAAGCCCATAAAAACATATCGTAAAAAAACAACTCCTGCGTGTGCTTATGTTGTTCTGTGCCACGGGCAATTATAAAGAAGCTCCCGGAAAAAAAAACGTGTAGAATTCAGGACCTTGGGTCAACGGAACCGCTAAACCCCTTAAATTGGGTGCGCGCATGCGCGGGAGGAGCCCAGCGGCACCTGGGGCCCCGCCGACGCGTCGCTCTAGCGCACGCGCGCACCGCCAGACTCCCGGCCGGCTGCCCAGGTGTCCGCGCTCACGCCCGCGGCGACCGTCCCGCTACACGCAGGACAGGGATGTGGGGTCGCCCGCTCGGCGCCGCTGTCCCGCTTCCGGCCTCCTCTCTCCTCCTGGAGCCCCCGCCCGGGACCCGAGGCCGCGGCCCCCTCGCCCGCACTCACCCACTCGAAAGGACACATCTCTTCCGGGGCCTCAGCCGCCGCGGCGGCGGATTACTTCCGGGGCTGGCCCGGGCCGCGCCTGCGCAGGTTGTCCCCAACGCGCATGGGCGGAAGGCGGCCCGAGCCCGGCCGTATATTGCGCCTGCGCAGAGCAGGGTCTCAACACCCCGGGTCTGGCTGGCGCCTCCGGGGGCGCGGGGCCGGGGGCCAGACCAAGACGAGGAGACCGGGCCTGGCCACCCATCCCGGCGCTGTGCGTTTCCCTCCAGCCCCCGTCTGCCTTCAGGAGCCCCGGCTGTGTCCCCGTCGCCCTCGGGCAGGGTGTGGTCTCAGGTGACCTGCCCGGCCCCTCCCCGTCGCGGGCCTGACCTTCAGCCCCGAGCATCCCCTCCGCGGGGCGGGGCGTTGCGGCAGTGGCCGGGGTCATCTTTACGGCAGCCCGTCCCCAGGCCCCAGTGGCGGCCGGACGCCAGCCAGGTAACAGGCCCACCTGGGTCCAGCCCCAGGTCCTGGAGCATCCCAGCAACGTCACGAAAACTCACTGTGGGATGACTTTCCAAGAACCAGTTTATTAATTACACCAAAAGCATAAACAATGAATACGCCAAACTCCAGCTGGGGGAGGAAAAAAAAAAAAAATGATGATGATCTTCAAAAAAATGTCCTGTGCTCACAAATAAGACAAGTCTGACCTGTGCAATAAATAGAAATGAAATAATGGCTAAAACATGTAAAATGGAAACCATCTTCCACTTTGTACAGTTCTGAGCGCGCCCAATACTCAACCCTATATATATAAAAACGGCCGGCTTAGGAGCATATTAAGGCTTCCCCGGAGGCCCGGAGACCTGTCCACCTCAATGCGATTCCCGGGGTCCTCGCCGGAGTCCCCAGTACTTTTCGACAGCGTGGTTCCAGAACAAGCCCCAGTGGGCGGCGAGCTTTTGCAGCCCAACTGTGAGCCCTTCTGAACACGGTGGTCAGCTCTCAAGTTCGTGACCTGCTGGGTGGCAGGGACAACTGGAAGAAGGACCAGGGCCAACGTCCAAGTCTTCCTCGGCACCTTCACTGGCGGTGGGAGCAGTCATAAGAAACAAAGCACCATCTACCACACTGCACGGATGGTTCATCGCAGCCTAAGCTTTTGCAAACATTCATATCACGGAAAATATAAGACAGTGAATGACGAGCTGCCGGCATCACTCCCCCCCCCACACAATGTCACATAAAAACGGACAACACGTTAAATAAACACTCCGTTATTAATCCTTAAATATATTAACACCCAAAATCATGTATAAATTAGGAAATAAATGTACAAACTATTTCACAAAGTGCTTTTTTAAAAATATATACACAACATTCAAGAAATTCTTAATGTAAGACATTTCAGATTGAAGTTTCGGAGTAACTTTCAAGTGTCCTTTTCTTTCAAAAAGTATTCACACAGCACTTAAACAAACAACAAACAAAAACAGAAACCACACACACAAAACGCATATTCCCAGGATGGCAAGGAATAAAAATAAACGGGTTTCACAGTTATCTAAAATGTTTAACATTTTCAGTGTGAAATTTTAGCCCCTGATTAAGTTTGCAAATTAGTTCTATGAAAACTGTCAGGAAATAATAGAATAATTATTTACTGTGTCACTTAGCAATTAAGAACTCCCATCTCAGCCCTGGCTGGGGTGGCTCAGTTGGTTGGAGTGTCATCTTGTCCACCAAAAGGTTGCCCATTCAATCCCCATACCTAGTTTTCGGGTTCCATCCCCGGTAGGGATGCATTCCAAAGGCAACCGATTGATGTTTATTGTAAAATATATCCTGGGGTAAGAATTAAAAAAGCCCATAAAAACAAACAACAAAAAAGAACTCCCCTTTTAGTAATATAGATATGTATTTTTAAGCCCTTACCAGTGTTAAGGGTTTTTTAAAACCCATATTGCCTACAAAATAAATGCTTCTATCCCACTAGACGTACGATATCAAGAAGTGGGTACTTTTTGTATTTTCTTGGTTGTTCTTGGGAATACGTCAACACTTATCCAAGGGTTTTTAAAGGATTCACAGTAAAAGTGGGTATTACAATCCCAGTAAAGATCGATAAAATGCCAATACTTAGTGAAATGCAGGCTTCTCCTCTGCACAGACTTTTCCAAGTGCGCTGTCCTAACATTTGCGCAGAATTTAAATGGGATTTAATGTCCTGGGAATGTGAAAATGACTCAAACTTCTCTACTTAGAACCTCTCCTTTTCAGGAGGGACACAGTAAACTCGGTGGGGGTTCCTTTTAAAAAACGAGATGTGAGTTTCAGATATCCCTAAAAGAAAAGAAATTCTTGCTTGGAGATCCAAACAAGCAGGTCCTGGAAGAACTAAAGTAAAACGAACCACTTGCCAACTGCATGGGAAATTTGGCATCACTATTTTAAGCTATACATTTAGAATGGGGCACATTAAAATTTCAAATCTAAAAACAACCATCAGAGAAACAAGAAACGGTCCCCCGCAATGGCAGAGGACAGCCCCTGTGCCTGCCGTACCTGGGTTCGGTGAAGGATCACTGTCTCATGGACTCATATTTGCAACATAGTCATTGATCCCTCTCATTCCTTTTTAAAACAAGAACATGTAACTTTTTGGATGAATGGAACTGGCTAGAGACACAGGTCATGAGCGAGATCTGGAAAGTACAGGGCAGTGTGCAGTCCCTCCATCTGAAACATAATTACCCTTTAACAGAAACAGACCCCAAAACACAGATAAAGCCCCCGCCCCGCCGGGCCCGGGAAAAGGCTGCATCCAGGCCTGTAAGCGCAGGTCCAGCTGCAGGGTCACCAGGGAGACAGGTGGACCATGCACATGGCCCCTGCGGGAGGGGAGCTGTTCATGTGGAAACACTGACGACGGCATCTTGTAGCTGTCCCATCGCTGGGCACAGAAGGATGACAAGAGGACCCCTAACGCTAGCTAGAAACATCGAGGGGGATGAGAAGGGGACGACGTCTCCATTCACCGTATGGACACACACTATACACAGCGCCAGGCATGTTGCACCAGCGCGCAGGCCCATGCCTCAGTGCGCGCTCGGCTTCATACCCAGCATGAGATGTGCACGCCTCACATGGGACATGTGTGGGGGCGAAGGGGCCACCGACAACCCACAGTTCAGAACCGTCACAGGCCTGTCCACGCCGGACCGACACCCCGCTGCACGGCTCCACCAAGAACGCTTGTCCCTTACTGCTGGTAATTTCCATACTGGCCCTGCAAGAGACCAGGACAGAGATTACACCCCAATCCCGAAGAGAAGGCCCCACCCCAGCCAACGTGTGGGATGAAGACAAAGGAGGAGGCAGAACAGGCCAACAAGTGGGTGGTTTCCTCCCCAGATCTACGAACTGGACGGTCACTGGCTTTCTCAGGAGGGGCCCCCACACCGGTCTAAGCCAGCCCAGCCACCATGGCTCTGGCCCCCAGCCCTCTGGGTCCTCTTCCTACAACTGCCCGCCCGGCTCCATCCCAGCCCCCAGGCAGCGTCCGGCTCTGTCGGATGAGACCCAAGCTCCAGAAGTGGGCTGTCTGTGTCTAGCTGCCATGTGTCCCCGGCACAGAGCAGGGAGCCACCCAGGAACCTCCACAGCAGGAGAGAACCCCAGAATCTAAGTGAGTTTAGGGTGTACGAAGCCAGCTTCTGACCGGGGTGAGCGACACGTCGAGGTAACTTTTAAAACCTTGCAGGTCAGAGAATGACACCCTGGCAGGGCCCTGGCAGCCAGCTGGCGCATCCCATCACACCTCGGTTACGTCTCAACGGGCATTGGATCTGCGGGCGGGGAAATGACCAGAAAGCTTGCCTGCTCGTAGCCGTACGGCCGCTGCTGCTGCGCCGAGGGGCCGGTCTGCGACGCCCTGTAGCTCCCGTACTGCTGGCCTTGCCCTTGCTGGTAGCTGGAGTACTGGGCGGGGGCTCCCTGGGCCGGCCCTGGGGACACACCAGCCGTGAGGCCCCGCACTGCTCCCCATCCCCGGAAAGGCTCCGGACAGCGGCCCAGGCCACGTCGGCAACTTTGCACCGCGTGCTCACCGGGTCGAGCCACTGTCCAGCATGCCTGCCCGCTGCCCCTGTGCTTCGCCTCCTTACGGTGGTCACTGTAACCGTGTGAGTTCACAGCAACCAGTGGCCACACAGGCGAAGGCCAGGCAGTGATCCCTCCTGTGGAAACTCAGCTGACCGCTCAGGGAGAATTCAGAAAGGTGGGGCGGGGACGGCACTGTGGTCCCAGAAATAAGCAAGTGCTCAGAAAACAAAGGCCGGAGCGCTTCAAGGGAGCCACCACCAGGGCAACGTGGAGAGCAGAACAGCAGGCGGTGAATTACAGCCCACACGCGGGGCTCACGTCCATGCCCGCTACGTGGACAGTGCTCTGGAACCCTGCTCTGCAGACTTGTTGTCTACTTATTTTTCAATCCTCACCTGAGGATATTGTTTCACTGATTTTTTTCAGAGGAGGAGAGAGAAACATGGATGCAAGAGAGACACATTGACTGGTTCCCTCCTGCAGGACCCCGACCCTGCCCTTGACCAGGAATCAAACCTGTGACGCTTTGGTCCACGGGCAGATGCTCTAACTGCTGAGCAACACTGGCCAGGGCCTTGCCATGTGTATGTGTGTATATGTATGTATGTATGTGTATACACACACACACACACACACTCTTTTACATTTTTTTCCCCTTTATTGATTTTTAAAGAGAAAGGAAGGGAGAGAGAAGAGAGATTGATGACAGAACATCGATTAGCTGCCTCCTGCACGCCCCCCACTGGGGATTTGGCCCATAACCTGGGCATGTGCCCTGACTGGGAATCGAACTAGCAACCTCTTGGTGCATGGGTCGAATATATATTTAAATGTTTTTTTTATTGATGTTTTAAAGACAGAAGAAAGGAGAGCTAGAAATGTCGATGAGAGGGAAACATCCATTGGCTGCCTCCTGCATGCCCCCTACTGGGGACTGAGCCCACAACCTGGGCATGTGCCTGACCAGGAATCAAACTGGGACCTCTCAGTGCATGGGACGACGCTCAATCCACTGAGCCACATGGGCTGGGCTTACTATGAATTCCTAATGTTTCTTCATTATAGTCTGAGAATGCACTACCTAAAATTGCTTATATTTACAAGTTCATATTTTTTTGCATTTTTCTGTATGTGACCAGTTTTTGTGACATTTTTGTATTAAATAAAGTGTCTCCTGGGGCCTGGTCACGAAGTCGTCTCCATGTAAATAATGATTATGACGAAGTGGAGGAGGAGACCCATTTTCCAAACAATCCACGTAGACTCCCCTCGAGGGTGCTGCAGTGGAGATCTGCTCCCAGAGACTACAAGGGGGGTGCAGCTACAACTGGACCAACGCCCCCTGACCCAACCAGTCAGCACACGCAAATCACGCTGAGAGGAGGTGGCAACAAGGGCACCTCACCTCTATGGTCTCCAAAGCCCGTGCCTGGTCTCATCCTGGGAAAAACGTCAGACAAACCCAACCTGAAGAACGTCCTGTGAAGTACCTGCCCTCCTCACAAATGCCCAAATAAAGACGAGGAGCCGCTGGTGTGGCTCAGTGGATGAGCGTGGACCCTGCACCAAGAGGTCGCCGGTTCGAGTCCCAGTCAGGGCCCAGGCCCAGGTTGTGAGCCAAATCCCCAGTGGGGGGCGTGCAGGAGGCAGCCAGTCAATGTTCTCTCATCGATGTTTCTATCTCTCCCTTCCTCCCTCCCTTTCTCCCTTCCACTCTATCTAGAAATCAATGGAAAAATATCCTCAAAATATCCTCGGGTGAGGACTAACAAAAAAAAGGAGATAAAAGAAAGGCGAGCCCTGGCCAGTTTGGCTCAGCGGTTAGAGCGTTGGCCCGTGGACGGGAGAGTCCCGGGTTCGGTTCCTGCTAAGGGCACGTGACTCTGTTGCAGTTTGTCCCTGGCCCCAATTGGGGTCATGTGGGTTGTGTCTCTCTTACATCGATGTTTCTCTCCCCCCCACCCCCGCTCTACCTGAAGATAAATGCAAAAACAAAACAAAAACAATGTCCTCGAGGGAGGATAAAAAAAAAGAGAAAGGCGTTCTGGCTGGCTGGGTGGCTCGGCCGGCTGGAGCATCATCCCGTACACTGATGAAAGGTTGTGGGTTTGATTCCGTCATGGCGCATACTTAGGTTTTGGGTTCAATCCCTGGCCAGGTGCACATAGGAGGCACCGATCAATGTTTCTCTCTCACGTGGATGTCTCTCTCTCTCTCTAAACACTAATGAACACATCCTGGGGTGAGGGCTGAGAAAAAACGAGAAAGTCTGAGCAACTGTCGGAGCCCGAGGAGCCTGAGGAAATGGGAGACTGATCCCAGATGGGTCCTTGGTCAGAAACCAGCGAGACCTGAGTCCTCCGTGGGTTTAGGCCTCAGCGATGGACCAACGTCAGCTCCTTAGTGTGACAGCTGGACCATGACGACGGACAAGGGTGACGACAGAACTCTCCACCCCTCACTGCTTCCCCGAACACCTAGAACTACTCCGAAGCAGAAGTGTAGCAGGCGTGTGCTGGCTGCCAGCTCTGCAGTGGGGTGCGTGTGGGCAGCGCCCTCTTACCGTAGCCCGGCTGCTGGCCTGGGTAGCTCTGCTGGTTGGGGTACTGCTGCTGGTACCCGGCCTGCTGCTGGGCTGCGCCCTGCTGGTACCCGGCCTGCTGCTGGCTGTACTGTGAGCTCCCTACGGAGGGGAGGAGACGTGGACTGAATTCCCGCCGTCTGTCAGCACCCGCCGCTGCCCAGCCCCGTCTCTGCACGAAGGTCCGTCACATCCATTAACCCACAAGCCGGCCTCGTCTGCCTCCTCCTTGGGTCTCTTGGCAACTTTGGCCTTCAGGGGCCACTCTGCACACATGTGGCCTTGTCACAGAACAAAGTCTGGACCCCGTGGTCCCCACGTGGCCAGCCCTCCCGTGTCACGAACACGCCAGGTGTGCAGGGCCCGGGCTCAGCCTGACCTCCCACTTCCAGCAGCCGACGCAGCCCACAAAGCTGTCCCTACTCTGACCTGTCCGGTGCCCGCGAGAGGACACGAGTCAGGCAGGCCGCCCCCCGCCCCCCGCCGCGCGGCTCCTCACCGCCCTCATAGTAGTGCTGCGTGGAGTCCTCGAAGGACCGGTCGTAGCTCTGCTCCGAGTAGGTCGACTGCTGATAGGCATAATCGCCATGTCCTGCAAGCAGACGGCCGGCCGGCCGTTAGGGGCCCGAGCACCACCCGGGTCAGGGGTCCGGGAGCGAGGCAGGCAGTGCTCAGGGTCAGGCAGTGGCCAGAGCAGGGAGCAGACCGATCCCCCCGGATGGAGCCACGGAGGAGCCCACTGTCGGTCCCCGGAGGTAAAATGATGACAGCCGCTGAGGTCCAGCGAAGACTGACGACACTCAGTGCCCAACACAGGACAAGCACTGGTGGCCCGTCGGCTGTCAACATCCACTGTCTGTTCTGCGATGTGTCCCCTCAGGGTGACGTGGCCCCTCAGAGGCCTTGTCACCACTACGTGGCCGCCCCTGCGCTGGTCTCAGCCACCCCGACCCAAGCGCACCGGCTCCCTGTCTGGGCGACCCTCTCTGCCCCAGCCATCCCCTCCGACCACAGTAAAGGCCACCTATGAACCCCTGGGACTATTCAAGAGGACCGGAAGTCGACAATGGAGAAGAAAATCCTCTGCAGACGTTACGACCGAGCAGCCGGGATCCGCGAGTTACAAGACTGGGACAGCCGCCCAGGCTGCCACCTTCCCGGAGGCATTTCCTAGGGGCTGCCCCCCCCCCCTTAAAGGAGCCACAGCACCTCAGAGGGCTGCACAGCCCGGCCCCGGCTCTGCTGTCTCTGGGGGCGAGCAGCCCACGGAGGCCAGTGGCCAGTGCCAGACTTCTCTGGGCAGAGCCTGGGCTCTGCCCGTCACACTCAGCATGGACTCTGGACGCGGGTGGGCAGGCGGGCGTCAGGGGTGAGCGCAGGGAGCGGAGGTCCGCAGCTCACCGTCAGCGTAGTACTGCTGGCTGAGTGGCTCCGAGGCGGCCTGGCCGTGGCCGTACTGCTCGCCCCCGTAGTACTCTTCCTGGCCCAGGTACTGCTGGGACGAGCCTGCGGGCGGGCGGGCCAGGAGTGAACTCGGGGCCTCTGCCCCACAGCTACCTCCTCGATGGGTCGCACGTCAGGACGCCCCACCACGCCGCCCGGGGACACCAGGGCACTGCCCCCGCCCAGCCCTCTACACTCTGGACTGCCCGCTTAGACACGGCTGCCCACCCCCACCACAGTCGTGTGCTTGCCCAGCACCCCACGGAAGGCTCCCGCCTCGCCCGGCCCCCAGGAAGGCACTGGCCCTCCAACTTCAGTGTTCTGCCACCCCACGAGGCTCCAACCCCCGGGGTCCTTGCACAATGCCCACAAACACAGGGTCTCAGCCCAGGAGAGGAGCGCAGGGGGCGCCGGCGGTACCTTGCTGGGAGGGCCGGTAGGGCGCCATGGGCCGCTGCCCCATCAAGCTGCTCCCCTGTCCGCTCTGGCCCATCATGGCGATGGACGGCTGGCCCTGGTAATGCTGGCTCCCGCCCTGCGCCGAGTTGTAGTGGGACGAGGCGGCCTGCTGATGCATCATGGACACTGGGCGACACGACAGAACCCAATAACCCCGAGAAGCACCCAGGGCGGCGTCCTCACCCAGGCCGACAGCACCCTTGTCCCAGGCGCACTGTCCCTGCTGCCCGTGACGCCTCCTAAAGACTTGCCCCCTCCCGTCCCTGGCACGCTTCCTAACAGCAAACCTCTGTCAGCTCTGTGTGCACACTCAGAACATGCACACGGCTCCCAGGCCGCCTGGCTGCCCCCAGCACCTGCCTGTCCGCTTGGGTCAACCTGCCGGAACCCTCGGCTCAGCAACGCCCCCCGCACCTGGACGCGAGCCACATGAAGCGTCCAGGGAAACAGGTGGTGCCTGTCTCAGCGACACACTTTATGTAATTTGATCCAGACACGACCCTCTTTGGTACGTAATTAACACTGAAAAATGGAGGAGATGCCTCGCACCCTCTTTTCTGGACTGAGCCTCCGAAATCTGGTGTGTCTGACACTCATGGGAAACCTCAGTTTGGACTGGTGCTCCCCAAGGTGCTCAGCGGCCCAAGGTCACCGTGGTGGACAGCCCAGCTCTCAGGGCCCAGCAGGGGAGAACGCCCAGGCCCCGCGGCCGTCCCTCACCCACCACTCCTCTGCTCCATCATGCCGTCCCCACCGGGGTGACCCAATCCTGTCTTCCCGGCAGGGCACAGACCACCCTCTGCAGATCCGCTCTGAGCTGTCTCGACCCCTCAAAGCTGGGCCCCGTCTGACCTGTACCCACCAACCCTTGGCCCTGGGGAAGCTCCTGGAGGAGGCTGGCCCCCGGGGCGCATCCTCTTCTCCCTCAGCACCAGCCCAGTTCCCAGCAGGAGGGCGGCCCGTGTGTGACCTGCACGCTTCGGAGGGGCCCAGGGACAGGTGTGCTCAGGGGCCCAGGGCCGGATGGGCGTTACCTGCGTTGGACTGCATGTTGATGTTGGCCCGTGACACGTAGTTGCTGATGGCACCCTGGCCCTGCAGGGGCACACTCTGCGCGGCGGGTCCCGAGTGGCTGTAGCCAGGTCCCGAACCGTGGCCGCTGCCGGACATGCTCATGGAGGTCGTGGGCAGCGTGCTCTGGGCCGTCTGCTGCATGGACACGTGGTTCGGACCTGCCGGGAGGGGTGGGTGGGGACGCCGTCACCCATCTACAGCCCCTCCAACAGCAGGCGCCCTGCTAGGCGCCCGGGTTCCCCTCAGGTAGGCGAGCTGTGTGCACACTGCCACGGGCAGGTCTCCGTGGTCGCCAGCGGGCCTCGGGCTGCAGACAGGAGCACTCCCTCCGCTCAGAAAGTCCCCATGGGACCCACCCCAGCCCGTGCTCTTGCAGCCAGGACCCCTGGGAGGAGAGGGGTCCCCTTGCTCAGCCCTGCGGGGCCACCCGGGAGCCTGGATGGGTGACATCATTGCAAGAACCGACTGCAAACCCAAAGCCCACCCCTGGGGTGCTCACCGTTGCCGATCTGGCTCTGCATGAGGGAGGTTGGGGGCAGGCCAGTGCTGATGGCGTCGCTGAGGCTGCCCTGGGAGTGCAGGCCCTGGCTGGCGCCACTCTGGGACAGCGCTCCGGGGCCCAGGTTCATGTTCTGGGTGGGCGGCTGTGGGCAGCAGGAGGTGATGGGGGGAGGATCAGCGCAGAGAACCAGGAGCCCCTCCAGGGACGCAGCCAGCTGGCTTTCCTGGTGATGGAAGGACCTGCCCCATCTCACCCCGTGGGCGACCTTGGCTTTGCTGGTAAGACCTCGGACCCCTGCCCCCCGCGGTCTGCGGTGCCCTTGACACTCACGGCAGGGAGCAGCGACTGCATGTTCTGGCTGGAGTCCGCGATCGTGGCCAAGTAGACCAGGTTCCGGTGCAGGAGCTGCTGGTACCTGCGGGCGAGGGCACGGTGAGCAGGGGGCCCACAGGCCAATCCAAAGCCAAGGTCACCCGGGACAGCCCAGCCCTGCAGCCCACCCGGGGACGCTGACCCTAGAGGACACCTGGGGACAGGGCAGGTGGCAGAGCGCTGCTGTCCAAGAGGGGCCAGGTGGGGAGTGGGCCCCCGTCCAATGTCTAAACACCACAAAGACCCCCAAGGTGCTGGCCAAAGGGGAGGTGCCACCCAACCTCTTTAAAGGGGAGGTTCGGACAAGCCCCTCCTCCAGGTGACCCCGGCTAACTCAATCCCCCATCCCCCTGCAGAGGTGCTGGAAAGAGATGAAGAAGCTCAGCTAGATGTTAGAATGCTTCAGGTGGGGTGACAGCCACTCACACGTCTCCCTCCAGGTGGCTCTGATGCCCAGCCCGTGCACCTACTCCGTGTCGGCCCTGGAGGTCCCACCTGGATAGAGAGCGCTGTCCCTTGGCATCTCCACCAGCTGCTCACAGAACTGCCAGCCTGCACCTTCCCAGAGACCCTCTCTCCTCCCACAGGTTCATTTCTTCCAAGCTTCCTACTCCTCCCTGGGGAACGACGTGGGCTGCCTCCAGGGGGCGATGCTCAGAGGCTCAGGTGACCTCCGCAGCCCAGTGTGCCCAGGCCACTCAACGCCCCCTAAGGAGGCCTTCCCAGTGCTGGGCAGACAGCCTGCAGCACCCGACAGCGCTGGGCCGGACACTCACTGGGCACACTCGGCAGCCTTGCCCTTGCTCTGGTGCTCCAGGATGCACTGGATCAGGTGGTGGTTCTCGTCCAGCATCTGCGGAGAAGAGACGTGAGCGAGGGGCATGGGTGCGTCTACAGTGCCCGCCGGAGACTAGGGGTGTGGGCTCGGGCTCAGACTCGATGTGACAACACCTGCTGTGGTGTGCGGGCATACTATGTATACTCTGTCCCCCTTTTTTTTGTTGTTGTTAATCCTCACCCAAGGATATTTTCCCATTGATTTTTAGATAGGGAGGGAGGGAGACAGAGAGAGAAAGAGACACATTGTTGCCTCCTTAATGACCCCAATTGGGGCCGGGGATCAAACCTGCAATCCAGGTATGTGCCCTTAGCTGGAATCAAACCCTTCAGTCCGTGGGCCGACGCTCTAACCGCTGAGCCAAACCAGCCAGGGCCACACTGACCCTCTTGTGTATAACCTTAGCCAGCGAGGCCGAGCCCTTTCCTTAGCCCTGTGCTAAGCATACAGCCCCCATCTCCCCAGGGGCAGGTCCCAAGTTCTCTCACCTGCAGATGGAATCCCACAGCCCCCAGGACCCCTGTCCCGCCATCTAGGGCCCCTGAACACAGTGCATCTGTCCAGCTAGGGTGGGTTAAGAATCCACAGCAGGGATCCAGAACCCATCTGGAGGGTGTGAGGTCCGAAAATGCCAGCCACACAGGAATCCCTCCCAGGGGAGGCAGCTGACCTCTGCAAAGCATCACAAAGACCTACCAGAGCCACCTCTTCAGGACAGCCATGTGTGTGTGTGGGGGGGGGGGGCTGCAGCTGGAAGACCCAGGAGGAGGGGATGGGAGGAACCAGAGAGGGAGGACAGTCTAATGGGAGGGGACAGCTGTGTGGCAGGTACAGCATCCAGTGAGCATGTAGGACGGCCAGCTGGACAAGCCCAGGAACCACCATCCACTGGGATGTGAAGAGGTGGCGAAGCATGAGGCTTACTGACGGCGCTCCATGCAGCCAGCCTCCCTGCTCCGGAGGGAGCAGAACCGAGCCCCCAGCAAGTGCTGCTTCCCGTACACCTGTGCCCAGAAACTGTTGCCAAAGGAAAAGCTTCTGCCTTCCGTCTCCACCAGGCTGTACCCAGTCATCTGGCCCCAGCGGTTCCTCCAGACAGGCTCAGCTCTGCTGGCCCCTGAGCAGGAAAGGCCCTGGCAAGGGTGCAGAGGGCCCACCTACCTGCCACGGTGCTGGCGTCCCAGCACACCACCCCAGTGCCACTCTCTGCCTGCGCAACATGGCCACCTAGCTGGGCTCCGATGGTAGGTCCTGCTCTACGAAGCCCTGGGCCCAAACCCACTCATGCAGGAGAGACGGGGGTAGGAGGTCCTGGCCCCACCATGCTGCAGGGTCGAGGTCAGCCGCCCCCTCCACCCCTCAACCCCTGAGTCCCCAGGGATGGCTACTCTTGCTCTGCTTGTTATTTACACTACAGCTTCCTCCTCCCGGTGCTCTCCCACTCTGTCCCCACTGTGGAGGTGTTGCCCCAAGTCTGGCAATTCCCACCTTGGCCCAGCCGCCAGCTGAGACGTGGAGCCACCAGGGGGCGCAGTGAGCCTGGAGCTGCCTGCCATGCTCACCTGGGGACAGGTGAAGGGTGCTCAAAGGCACCTGGAAAGGCATTCCGGTCATTCACACATTATGACTCTTTTCTCCAGGTTACTCAACAAAGGAAAACAACTGTAACAGAGCGTCCTTTCCCTGGAAAACTGCCCCATGAAGCTTCACGCCTCCGGGCAGGAATTCTCTTCCAAGGACACACAGTTCGTACTAAAACATTTTCTGCCCGGAATGTTCACTTGTGGAGGGGGGCGGGCTCAGTGGGCAACGCTGGGAGACTTCTGCAAGTCACGGCAGAGCCATGCAAGATGTCAAGCGTTGTAAACATTCTTGGAGTCTATCAGCATGAAAACAGTAGGAAGCTCATCAGCACCAGAAAATGTTACAAAGTTTATCAGGGTGAGAAAATGTGACAAAGTTTATCAGGTGAGAAAATGTTACAAAGTTTATCAACCTGAGAAAATAGATACAAAATCTGTCATAATGAGAAAACATGTTACACAATGTTAGAAGAGAAAGAAAGAAAAGGGAGGGAAGGAAGGAAGGAAAGCGGACACACGGTTCTGTCTCAGCTAAATCAAAAACACTCGGGGAAAAAGTCCAGGACATGTCAGCGAAAGAGCCAAGTGGGTGCTCGCTGAGCCCCAAGCCCTCCCCGCCCACCCCACTGAGTAAGGGGGGAAGACAAACACTCAGAGGGACAAAGGGAACAGGGCTGAGACGCCACGCCAGCCTCAGGACTCTGGAAGCAAATGGACACGTGATCACTGGATTAGCAGACCCCAGGGAACCCACACAGACGACCCACCAGGCTGGAGGAGGTAGAGATCCCTGGACCTGCCCCATGGCTCACCTGGCAGGAAGTAGGGAAGGGACTCGGGGAGTGGGGACCCATCTCCAGGGAAAATGAGAGCCTGGGGGCTACAGGAAGCAGGCAGCACCAGCCCTCTCAAGCTCTGTGCGCCAGGAGAGGGCAGTAGGAGAAGGTGCCATCACCAGGAACCCAACCCGCGGCACCCCAATCCCAGACGTCCGGCTTCCAACACCGTGGGAAAGAGATGTCTGCAGTGTGAGCATCTGTCCGCAGCAGCCGGAACCCACAAGGACAACAGAGCTTAGAACTAAAAACACCCAAGAAACCACCACTTTGCGATACAGCCATTGGTTTAGCGAGGAGAAGGGCAGGAGAGGGTGTAGCCAGGAAGTGAGACAGAGTCACCCCCGACTTTTAACACACGCCACAGCACTTGCCTCTTGGCGTGCACGCGTGGTCTTGAGATCAGACGAGAATTAGAGAGAAGTGAAGTGCCAGGAGGGAAACCCTGGCTCTCTCTAGGCCACCACCCAGCTAAGGGGGCCCATCCCCACCCTCCCAGGCCGGCCAGAAATGAGGGGGACAGTGCCCCTCCCAGCCCTGGGGAGAAAGTGCTCTCAGTGACTGCCTACAACGATCAGTTTGCCAAATTAAGGGGGTCTCGGAGTTCCCAAGCCATTTGCAGTTGTGGGGACAGAGCTAATTTTTTAAAACAGCCAATGTACCTTCCTTTCCAAATTTGCCCATGTTCCTTTTTTTTGAATTCTCACCTGAGGATATTTTTCCATTTTTATTTTCAGATAGAATGGGAGGGAGGGAGGGAGGGAGGGAGAGAGAGAGAGAGAGAGAGAGAGAGAGAGAGAAACATCGATATGAGAGGGACACATCCACTGGTTGCCTCCTGCACGACCCCGGCCAGGGCCGGGGACCAAACTGCAACCGAAGTACATGCCCTTGACCGGAATCGAACCCACGACTCTGCAGTCTGCGAGCCAACGCTCGAACCACTGAGCCAAACTGGCCAGGGCTGGCCCATGTTCCAGAAGACAAGTTCCACATCGGAGAGAGCAGCACAGGGAGCCCCCCCCCCCCGCCCTGAGGCAATGGGACAGGGCTGGCTGGGTTTCTACCTCTCCCTGGCCCTCAGGCCCTGGGCAGACCCATGTGCGGAACACCTGCCCCTCGGCTCCATCCCATTCCCATGGAGCTCGTCTCCCCCTGCACAGGTGCTGGGGGCAGAAGGACAAGACATCATTCCCACCCTCCTGCCGAGAAATCCAACCAAGAGCCCCAGTGCCAAGTGACAATGGAACTTACACTTCCTAAGCAGCTACGTACCTGTGCCAGTGGCACGGGGGCACCTGCACGCCAGCCAAGGCCCCCGAGGAGCCCAAGCCCATCCCCATGGAGATGGCTGCACCCACTCCCAGCGGTGTCGGGAGCACAGCCCTGGACAGCAGGGACTCCCTGGTCCCAAACCAGTGGAGAGCCGCCAGGGCAGGTCCTGGCCTGCAGGCCAGCTAGTGGGCCCAAGGCGAAGAGGACTTTGCTGGGACACTGCCCATCTCCACCTCGGGGTCCCCTGTGCTCGCACCCAAGTGCAGTTCCTCCTGCATCTCATCCTGCATTGACACCGAGCTTGGCCACCACCAGCTAAGCCGCCTTGGCCCCAGCCCAGGCTCCCAGATCCGCCCACTCCTGCCCCTCCAGTTTGCATCTCATGCCTGCTCTGTGCACACCGCGCGCGGGACCGCCCGAAACTGCCTGTGTCTTCCCGGCCCTCGCACCTCTGCTCCTGGGTTCTCCAGCCTAGCACACCCACCTCCCACAGGCAGTGGGTTGAATTGTGTCCCTCAGACAGAACAGGTTCGATCCTAACCCCTGGGACCTGTGAATGGGACATTATTTGAGAATAGGGTCTTTGCAAACGCGGTGACATTGAGATGAGGTCAGGCCGGGTTAGGGTGGGCCCTAAATCCTATGACAGGTGGACACTGAGAAGAGGGAAATCTAGACAGAGACAGAGAGGAGAGGCCCGGCGACACAGAGGAAAGCATGGAGCAGAGCCTGGCCCACGGTTCCAAACAGGAACGAAGCCTGACACCTTGATTTTGGACTTCCAGGTCCAGAACTGAGAAGACAGTTTCTTCTGTTTCCAACTACCCAGTCTGTGGTACCCTGTTACGGCAGACAAAGGAAATGAATCCATCTACCTACTCCACACATTTCCACTGATATACCCAGTATCACAGACGCTCCAGTATGTACTGGGCACTGACGTGTTAGGCACTGTGCCAGACGGGGACACAGCAAATAAGTCAGTGACATAAAACTTGGGAGCTCAAGCAATGTATCAAAATGCTACACTCAAGACATTACTGCCAACAGAGCATGAAGGAGGGAACATTTGAGTGGGGCCTTGAAGGTTGAGTAGGAGTTTGCCTGGCAGATTCCCACCCAGATATGCTCTAAGGACAAGTTGTATACTTCCTGTTCCCCCACTTCCAAGCAGCTTCTGAAAAACTCTGGCTTTTCTCAATGCTCTGAGCATGAGCGCACTGCGGCACGGCTCATGTGAGTGTGGGTCACGCATCTGTCATGCCCTTCTCAGACGGCCAGTAAAAGAGCCCTGGGTGCGTACATTCACTGTCATGAACCCAGGCAAGTATGCAGACCACTGGCTCAACCAGGTCAAATCAGATGGCAGCCACAGTGAAGACCCATTTCTAACGGGCAGCTGATGTTCTGTCCTGAGCTGCAGCCAGCAGGGTTCCTTCCTTCTGCTCTGATGTTCTGTGGCTTCTACCTGGAAAACTTGGGGAGCTCTACTAAGGGGAAGGTGCCAAGTGCTAACTGAATACTGAAGGCAAAAGTGGCTTCGGGAACAGCGATTCTGCTCATCACACTTAAGCTCCGAAAGCCAGGGTTTCCAGAGACCCTGGGGTTGCCAACGTGCATCTCTGAGCCAAGCGCGTGCCCCTCTGCCTCGCCCAGTGTTCCCACTTCGAGTGTCCCAGTTGGGGCAGACCCTGGAGCCACTGACTGGGTTCGACTCCTGGCTCCACCACTAACCAGCAGGCACATTGCTTCTCTCTGCCTCAGTTTCCTCCTTAAAATGAGAGTGATAATAACTACCACAAGAAGTTAAAAGAGTTGATATCTGCAAAGCCCTTAGAATGGTGCCTGGGATGCCGTGAGCACCATATGAGTGCTTAACAAACACGTAGAAATGCCCGACTTTTACGTGTGTTTCTGCTGCTTCTCAAATGACCTCTTCCCTGTTTAGTTTACTGAAGCTCTTCATCTGTCAAAACCAGCCAAGCAAAGGCAGGATCTGAACAGACCAGGTCCACAAGGTCCTGGCACCTTCAAGGAAGAAGCCACTGGGTGAACCCCCTCATGGGAACCAAGGAATACTGCTGTTAATCCCACCAATTCTGAGCTTAGAAAGAAAACAAAGCTACCGAAAACGTGGAGAAATTTCCATCTGAAAAGTTAAAACCATTTTTCTTCTGAACTTGTCTTCTAAAGAGAAAAAGCAAGGAATTTTAAAACAACTTCAAAACTTTCGGGTTTTGTTAAAGGCGCCCCCCGGCTCCATGTAAACGTCGTCTGTAGAAGGCCACCAGGCCAAGCCTACGGACTCGGGGAAAGGCCGTGGAGTGAATCTGCTAGGGGCGGACGCGGGTCGGAGCCACGCGGGAAGGCAATTTGACAAGCGCGGCAAAGCGTGGCCAGCGGTCGCCCCCAGGTGGGCTGCGCTTCGCAAAGACTCGCGCACGGATGAGCATGAACTGCACAGAACACTCTGGACGTGCCCCTTTGTGCCTCGTGGTGCCGACACCTTATTGAGGGGTGAAGCTGCTAGGCTGGGTCCCAGTTGCCCGGCGCGCCCCCTCCACTCGCCAACTTGGGCGCGGAGGCCAGGGGCTGCCGGCCGCGTTGCGCCACTGCCTGACCCAGTCAGGCGGGTCCCTCATGCGCCTGGCGTGGCCCAGGATATCTCGGCTTGACCGGCGACTCCCACTCCGCAAACACCAACCCACGGACACCGTATCGAGGCGTCCGGCCCCGCTGCTCTGAGCCCCTGTCCGCTGCGCAGGGTACACGAAGGCGGCGTGTCCTGAGGCGCCCGGCTTGGCCCGCGGACACGACCCCACTGACACCACGGCGAGGGCGCGCGGCCCCGCCGTCCTGCGCCCCGGCCCGCGACCCGCGCGCACTCGGACCCCAAAGGCGGCAAGTCTACTGTGCCCGCTTGGCCCGCGGACATCATCTCGAGGGCACCGGCCCCAACGCCCCGCGCCCCTGCCCGTGGCCCCCGCCCAATTGGCGCAGGCAGGCAGGCGGCGGGGCGCTCGCGGGGCCCCACGGGGTCAGGGCAGCCGGCTGCGCCCCGGCTTTGTTCGCGCCCCGCGCCCGCCGGCTGCCCGCGTCCCGGCCCTGCGCGCGCCCGCCCGCACCCCGCGCCGCCCCCGGGCCCCCGCCCACCTTCTGGATGGTTTGCTGCGTGACCTCCCCTTTGCCTCTCGGCCGGGCGGACGCGAAGGCCACCGACATGGTCGCGGCACGGGTTCAGCCCGAGATCATCGGTGCTTCTCCTCCCGCTGCGCTCGGCTGCCCGAGGTGTTCATTCTCCGCAGTCGCTGGGGGGCGGGGGCGCGGGGGGTCCCGCCGTGGGCTCGTCCGCCTCGCTGCGGCCTCCGCGCTGCCCCTCGGCCCGCCGCCGAGGCGCCAAGCGCGCCGCCCGTGCCCCAGGCCCAGTCCCGCGCGGTGCCCCCCGGCGGCCGCCCTGCGCCCCGCGCCCGCCCCACTGCCGCCACGGCGTCCCCCGCGCCTGTGCGCCGGTGGTTCGGCCCGGCCCGGCCCCGCCCCGGCGCGCGCACGTCCCCGACGCCGCCGACGCCGCCCGACGCCGCGACGCCAGCAGCGCCGTGGGCGGGGCCGGGGCAGGCGCGGCGCGGGCAGAGCTGAGTCGGGCGCCGTGGGCCGTGTGGCGGTGAGTGTGCGCTTTTCCCGGCCTGGCCGCTCGCCGGCATGAGTTACGACCGCGCCATCACCGTCTTCTCGCCCGATGGCCACCTCTTCCAAGTGGAGTACGCGCAGGAGGCCGTGAAGAAGGGGTCGACCGCGGTGAGCAGCGGACCCGCCCGGGCGGGCTGGGCGCCGGAAGCGGCATGGGCCTGGGGGCGCCTCGGGGGCGCGGGGCGGACCCGCGGTGCCGGGGAGGCAGGAGGTGCGGTGAGGCAGCCCGGGGAGCGGGGCGGCCCCGGGGCGTGCGGGCACGCGGAGGCCCCGGGGCGGGAGGGGTCCGCCCGGGATCCAGCGGGGCGGCCGGCACGGCTGTGGACACCTGGGGTCTGCGGGGAGGGCATCCCTCTCGGTCCCGGAAGCCTGGAGCGCGGCGTGTGCTGGCGGCCGGGTGGGGCCCGGCTGCGTCCTGCCCTCGAGCTCAAGCCAGGTGGCGGTGCTGGCGGCCTTCTTTGTCGTCGGACGCTTTTTGCCCGACTGACCCTCGGGATGAGCGCCGTGGCGATGGTATTGCTGTAGGAAGTGGAGAGGGGCACGTTGTGCGCCGTGGGTGCCCGGGCGCGCGAGCCGGCAGGACGGGGAGGCTGATGGGACTGCGCTCCAGACACGAGATTCTCACCAAGGGCAATGGGGGGGGGGGGGGGGTTTGCTGGGGACCCACAGGTGCTTTGCAGACCAGCACGTCGGGTGTGACTGGGGTGTTCGGAGTCCCACCTTCCTGTTCCCTCCTAGGAGGAGCCGCAGTCGCGCTCGGGTGGCGACGGCCATCTTGGCGGCCACCTCTGCCCCTGCCGGGAGAGCCCGGAGTGGCTCCGCTGCGGGCTGCGCACAGGGCCCCGGGGCAGCAGGCTGGCTGCTCCCTGGTTCCGAGTGTTGCGCAAGCAGATGACTTGGGTGAAGTGCACCCAGACGGGTCCAATTAGGGAACTTCCCCCACTGGGGAGAGCAGTTGTCCTCAGGTGCAGCTGGGCTGCCAGAAGACAGTGGAAGTGCTTGGTATGAACTGTGCGGTTCCTCCTAACAGGCTCCCCGCTGGATTGGACCGCCCTGTGCAAGGAGCCCTCCTCCAGGAGGGCAGTGCGCTGACCCCTTGTCCTGTTGCCATCTGAGCAGTGCCTCTCACGTTGACCACCCCTTGAAATTTAAATTCATGTCTTCCAGACTTCTGTCTGCTATTGGTCTGTTTTTTTCATATCGTTGGTATTGAAGAGGTTTCAGCCAGCAGTCAGAGAAAGCGCACACAGTTCTGTGAACTTGGGTGTTTTCATTTCCTGGACAGTTTTGGAAATTAAGGTCCAGAATCTATCTTGTGGCCTAACTCAGTCTCAAGGGTGCTGGATGAGCGTCCAATGGCCCTCTCCCTTGCCCACCATGTGATCTCAGGCCCGCCGGGGTGGCTGGCTTTGCTTAACCCACCTAGCGTCTCTTGGCCTGTCCCTGGGGACCGCTGAAGATCATGAGACAGTAGGTGAGAAAGCACCTGGAAATCTGACCCCCAGACCAGTGCATCTCACCCACAGGGCTCATTCTGCACCCCAGGAGGCATTTGATAACCTGTGAAGACACTGTTTGTTGTCCAAGGCTGTGGAGGGTGCTCCTGGCATCGTCGGGTGAACACCCTACAGTGCACAGGCAGCCCCCACATCAGAGGGAGCCAGCCCAGGGCCTGTAGTGCCCGAGCCAAGGAGCCCTGCTCTGAACTAAGCCTGGAGGTTACTTCTCTGAGGGATTCGTCATCCGTCCATTTGTATCTGTGCCTGCCTTGACGGAGGGCTCAGCAGGCAGCAGAGGGTTGTGTTTTTAGTGCATCCTTCTTTCCTGTCCAGCGTTAGCCGTAAACAGAGCGCTGACCTCCCAGGAGTGGTTGGTACAGGTGTCCTTCCCCACAACTGCACCCGTTGGTAGGGTGGGTGGTGGTGCAGGTCACAGCCACAGAACTGCGGCTTTCAGAACACCTGCCTGAACGCTCGGGTCTCGGGCCGCGAGGCCGTCTGTGGCTGGTTGGCAGGTTACGGGAAACGTCCGCGTTGACGACACAGCAGTTGCTTGTTAGTGGTGTTGACACTACAGGACTGGGCGCCGGTCACGACAGCTGGGGGGAGCCCTGCCGCAGCAGGTCAGTACCTGTGCTTGGCCGGTGTGACACCCACAGCGGTGGCCAGGGACCCTAGACACGTGCTCTCAGGGCTCTGTGCCTGCCGCAGACCCTCGGGTCACTTTCTCAAGTGCCGTGTTGATTCTTCTTGAAGGTGGGCGTTCGAGGAAAAGACATTGTTGTTCTGGGTGTGGAGAAGAAATCAGTGGCCAAGCTGCAGGATGAGAGGACGGTGCGGAAGATCTGTGCCCTGGACGACAACGTGTGCATGGCCTTCGCCGGTGAGCCTGGGGCCACGAGGGCCTTTGGAGGACGTGTGGACTGGGGAAGCCCAAGTCCCTTAAAGCAATGGGTTTGGGCCTCTGTGTAAAGGGCTGGCCACGGTTTCCTGGTGGGGAGGCTCTCTGCCCCTGTCAGCCGGGGCACAGAGGCTGCAGGAATGTGACCTCGGGACGTGGGGCGCTGCTGTCCCCTGCACTGTCATCGGCATGTCCCTGGTTGTAGTTGCCGTCAAAAAAGCCCTGGCTGGTTTGGCTCAGCAGTTGGAGCATCGGCCTGCGGACCAGAGAGTCCCAGGTTTGGTTCCCATTGGGGGTACGTACCAAAAAAGAGAGAGAGGTCAGGCTTTGCACAGCGGCTGCGGCTGTGAAGGGCCTGTGGGTGCCGCGCTCTTGGCACGCTCCTCGCCGCAGATCCCGTCTTCCGTGGGACTAGGGCTGGCCCGCGGGGCCTCACGCAGCTCCTGTGACGTGCGCCCCCAGAGGCCTGGGGTGGGGCCTTCGAGGACTGCTCGTGCGCTGTGTCTCCGGTTGGGGCCGCGTGGTGATGTTCCTCTGTCCCTGTAGGCCTGACCGCCGACGCGAGGATCGTCATCAACAGGGCCCGGGTGGAGTGCCAGAGCCACCGGTTGACGGTGGAGGACCCCGTCACCGTGGAGTACATCACCCGCTACATTGCCAGCCTGAAGCAGGTGGGCCCGCCCTCGGGTCAGCGCTGGCTCGGACAGGCACTGCTGGCTCCTGCGGGATGTCCTGCTGCACACTGGGTGGTGGTGGCCCATGTCCTTGCAGGGAAGTTGAGGCCCAGCGCATGTCTGCTGGCGCCTGCCCACGTGCCTGTTTCTGGAGAGAAGGGATGGTCTCATCTTGCCTCTCTGCATGGCAGGCACCGAGGAGCTGGGAGGAGGCTGGACCACTAGTCCTCTTTGAAACCAGCCATGTGGCCCTGGCCAGTGTGGCTCAGCAGTTAGAGCGTCGGCCCACGGACCAGAGAGTCCTGGGTTTGGTTCCTGCTAAGGGCATGTAGCTCAGTTGCAGTTCGTCCCTGGCCCCTGTTGGGGTCATGTGGGTGACAGCCAGTTGATGTGTCTCTCTCACATCGACGTTTTCCTCTTCCTCTCTATCTAAAGATAAGTGCAGAAAGTCCTCAGGTGAGGATAAAAACAATAAAAATAAAAGCAGCGTGTAGCCAGAGGCGTGTCTGCTGACACATCCACGAGGCCTCACAGGTGCTCCACGGGGTGGTGCTGGGCACAGCGCAGATGTTGGAGTGGAAATGCTCACTGCGCTCCTCTGAGCCTGGGCTCTTCCCGCCCTCAGCCAATGCAGTGGGGGTGCCCAGTGGGCTCGGGTCTGTCGTGCGGAGACAGCACAGTGACGTGTTCCTTTCCCACCAGCGCTACACGCAGAGCAATGGGCGCAGGCCGTTTGGTATCTCTGCCCTTATTGTGGGTTTTGACTTTGATGGCACCCCCAGACTGTACCAGACTGACCCATCGGGCACATACCATGCCTGGAAGGTGAGTCCCTGCAGAGCGGGGCTGTGGGCTGTGGGCACAGTGGGGAGGGGAGTGTTCGCCTCTTACAAGTGTGCGCACACAGCCTGTTTGTCCACAACACTGCCACTCGGAGGGGAGCAGGAAGTCCTTGAACTGTGTCGTTGGGGAGGAAAGGGCAGGGAGCCAGGACAGGCTTCAGTGAGACACCTTCGACAGCGGATGGTGTCTGTCATTGGTGATCCTCAGCCGCTCCAGATAGCCCTCGGCTGAAGGAGGGCTCAGGGCAGGGCCTGGGGGGCAGGGTGGTCGCTGCTGGCCCCCCGGAGGCCAGATTGTTGGGCTGGCTCTGGATTGTGAGGTCCTGTGCTGTGACACTCTCTCAGGCCAATGCCATAGGCCGGGGCGCCAAGTCTGTGCGTGAGTTTCTGGAGAAGAATTACAGTGACGAAGCCATCGAAACGGACGACCTGACGGTCAAGCTGGTTATCAAGGCCCTTCTGGAGGTAAGTCTGCCTTTGCAGACACCAGTGTCATGGCGTCCCCCGGGCTGGGGGCAGCGGCGGAGGCCACCGTGGCGCTCTGCCCGGTCAGCTCCTGCGCACCACCATGCAGTGGGCACAGCTCACAGCCACGGGCAGCCCTCCTGGGGCTCCAGCGGCTGCAAGGGCAGAATCCAGGACTGGGACGCAGGCTGCGGTTGTGGGGCCCTGGGCTTGGCCGAGACCTTGCAGATGCTGGAAGATAAGGCCAAAGGCAGAGGCTAATTGGAGGGCAGGCTGGGGTCTAGAGAACAGGGCTGCTGCCTGGGGCCCAGCTGCCGGGCAGGAGAGGGACCAGAGACCCAGTGAAGTGTGCCTGCCAGGAAGCAGGAAGGAGCACACACACTGTGGGTGCTGGAGCCCAGTGTGCCCAGTCTGTCCCTGGCGTGGCGCGCTGGGTTTGGGTGCACAGGTGATCACTTAAGGAACCTGCCAGAGCTGTCTGGTCCTGCGTGGGTGAGGCTGTCTGCTGTTCCCTCCCCGCAGGTGGTTCAGTCGGGCGGCAGGAACATCGAGCTGGCTGTCATGCGGCGAGACCAGCCCCTTAAGGTAACCGTCCATTGCCGTGTCCCCGGTGGAGTGCCCGTGGTGGGCGGGCGGTGCCGTTCACAGCACTGTTGGGGCTCTGGCACCAGGTGAGGCCTTTGTGAGGCTCCCACACGCGGGTGGAAAGCAAGCACTCGGCGTCGACCTGTGGTTGTTCCCGTGGCAGGGGGGCGTCAGCAGCTGTGCAGCCACTCACTAACCGCCCACGGAGGCCCCGGCCTCGCGCCCTGCAGAAGCATAGGGAGCCCAGGAGCCCTCCCCACGGGGCCCTTCGCACTGGGGCACAGCCTGGGCTGGGGGCTAACCAGAAACTCTCTTTGGTAGATTCTAAACCCCGAAGAGATTGAGAAATATGTTGCTGAGATTGAAAAAGAAAAGGAAGAAAATGAAAAGAAGAAACAAAAGAAAGCGTCCTGATGGGCAGTCCTGCTGGGAGTGATTTTTAAACTGAAATCATGGGGGACACTCGAGGTGTCCCTTGTTCTGTCCAGTGTCCTACAATAAACTTCCGTGTTTTTAACCTTGCCTTTGTTTACGAGCTGTTTGGAATCACGATAGCTCTCGCGGACACGGTCTTCACTGTGAGGTCGGTCTACAGGCTTCCTGAGTGTGTGCTTCCCTCCCCTTGTTGCTGGGCTCGGAGGCAGCGGCCACTGACTGTGCGGGCGGTCCTGGGCCGTGGAGGGCCGAGGCCAGGGGCCGAGGTGCGGCACGCAGCTGCTGGGGGGGGGGGGGGGCTGGCACTTCGGATTGAGGCTGAAACTTGGTTTCCCTCCTCCAGAGGTTCCAACACGGGGTTTGAGCTCCTAGCCAATGCGAGGCTGAGGACGTGAGCAGCACCCGTCGGTGTGTAGCCCGGTTTTGCAGAGCAGCTGTGTTCAGTTAGCCTGCGTTCACTAGGTCAAGTCTTCCTGTTTCTCCCGTTTTCTCCATTAAGACTCCTGGTGCTCAGAGGTCGCCAGTCCGGTTCCCGGTCGGGACACACGCCCAGGCTGCGGGCCTGATCCCCAGTGGGAGCCTGCAGGAGGCGGCCAGTCGATGTTCTCTCATCGATGTTTCTCTCCCTCTTCCTTCCTCTCGAATACATAAAGACTTCAGATGCTTACTAGTCCCCACCCTCTCTATTTATATAAATATCTTTTAAATTTTATTTTTTGCCCTGGCCGGTTTGGCTCAGCAGTTGGAGTGTCAGCCTGTGGACCAGAGTCCTGGGTTTGGTTCCCGCTAGGGGCACATACCAAAAAAAATTTTTTTCTTTATTGATTTTAGGGGGGGGAGGGGGAGGTATCAATGAGAGAAACCGCCTCCTGCACGCCCTTTACTGGGGATCGGGCCCACAACCTGGGCATGTGCCCTGACCAGGAATCAAACCAGCGACCTCTTGGGTCGATGCTCATCCTGAGCCACACCAGCCGGGCCTTTACATTTTCATCCTCACTCCAGGATATGCTTACTACTGATTTTAGAGGGAGGGAAACATCAGCTACTTCCCGCACATGCCCCAACTAGAGCCCAAACCTGCAACCTCAGTCACGTTCCAAGAATCCAATCGGAAACCCTTCGGTGTACGGGACAAGGTTGCAACCTCCCCAGGCCCCGACTAGGGCCTGTCTAACCAGAAAGCCCACCCCTCCGCCCCAGCAGCAGTCTGTTCTGTCTCTGCAGGAAATGCTGCCCACAAGCCTGCATGAGGCGCTGCCGCCGGTCCTTCAGCTGGCCGCCCGTCCAGCTCTGCTTCTAGGGCCCAGGGACTCACCTTCTGCCTTGTTGCAGCTTCTCCACATCCCCCGGAGGGCACGTTGTTGACCTCCCAGAGAGGGGTCAAGGGCCCGGAACTTGTCAGTTGTGAGTCAGGCCAGGCCCGATGTTAGAGCTGCTCTGGGCCCGACAGGATCAGTTGGACCAAGGGAGGAGGCGGCTGAACAAGGCCTCTCCCCAGACTGCTTGTGAAGCCCCCCAGAAACCCATCCCAGTGGGGGGGGACGCGCCAGTCTGAGACCAGCTCCATCGACTACTCTGTGTTGGTCGGGGCCCAGCCCAGGAACAGGTACCATGGATGCTCAGGAGACCGAGGTAAGGGGCAGGCTCAGGGCCACTTCTGAAGCAGGTTCATCTGTGAACTGAGTTTCGGAAACTGCTCTGTGCTGGGGAAGCAGAGCTCCTCCAGAAGCGGGGTGGGGGTCACAGTGAGAGGCTTGGCACCGCCCAGACCAGCCAGGTGCCTGCCTGGGGGCGGCATGTCGGACATGATGGATTCAGGCAGTCGACAGGGCCATGTACACAGCAGAGGAGAAAGTTTTAAAGTTTGCTTGTTTATTTTCGTTACAATTTACATTACTCCAACAGAGCAGCCCCCTGCTACATTCTAATTCTTAGCCATTAAGTCCTACAAAAATAAACCCAAGCTTTTACAGTAACTCAATAAAGAACCAAAATCTTTACAGCTACTCAGGGGTTCGTCACCACGGTGCTGCTGTCACCACGGTGCCCTGTCATCGGGGTGCATGCTTGTACTAAGGTGACCCACTTACCCATGCAACAGTTTATGCCCCACCTCCCTCCACCCACCTGTAAAACAAACACGACTATTTACAACTCAGAGGAATGTGCTCTCGGTCAGCCAAGCTTGCAGAGAGACTGGCTCGTTTCCAAGTGGATGAGACGCAAACAGTGACGGGGTCCAACACCGCCTGGCCCGGGCAGGGGATGGCAGGGCGGGGGGGCGGCACTACCAAAACCCCGATTCCCATGGAAGCCAGGCTCTGAGCAACAAACAGCTCCCTGCTCGTGTTCAGGGCCCTTCTTGTGCCTCCAAGAACACCCCACCCCGCAGCCCCCAACCTTGACACCACCACCCTGGACATCAGGTGGTCTATCTGCTCACACAACATGATCTGCGGGAGCCCCGCACCCCTGCCCGAGGCCCACCTGACCCCGCACCCCTGGGCTGGCCCTGCCTTGCTCCCCAGACCCCGGTAGTGGCAGTGGGAGGGCCAGGAAGCGGCGCCAGGCCAGCTGGGTGACAGATCGTGCCCGGCTGCCGTTACGGCCAAATGAGATTTGGTTCCACTTTAAAAGTCAAAGCTGTCAAAAAAAAAAAAAGTCTAAGTGAGGATTAAGTTTTCGCTCTAGAAACCTTTTTCAAAATACCAAAACCTTTAGGCTAGACTGCGTAACGAGGAAAGACCCAGAGCCCTCAGAGGCCACCCTGAACAACTCCTGAACACGAGCTCCAACTCAGACCACGTCCAAGTTCCGTGACGTCCAAAACAAAAGTAGTGATCAGTGACCAACATCCGCCTGCCCAGCAGGTGCGCGGCGTCCTCACTCAGCTTCTCACTGCTGCTGCTTCCGCAGGGGCTGCGGGTGAGGACAGGACACACGTGAGCTCACTCAGCCGAGGCCAGGGCTTCCCAGGCCCCCAGCAGCCCACCGGGCAGGCCGCAGGGGCAGCTCCGCACCACACCCACCCGCCGCCTAGACCTGAGGGCACACAGTCCCCCGGGACCACGTTAAGAAGGCAGGGCAGCCCTGGCCGGTTTGGCTCAGCGGTTAGAGCATCGGCCTGCAGACCAAAGAGTCGTGGATTCAACTCCGGTCAAGGGCGTGTACATTGGTTGCGGTTCTGTCCCCTGCCCTGGTCAGGGTCGTGTGGGAGGCAACCAATGGATGTCACATTGATGTCTCTCCCTCTCCCCCCACCCCACTCTGTCTGAATATAAATGGGAAAATATCCTTGGGTGAGAATTTAAAACACAACAAACAAAAAGGCAGGCGGCCTGCACCGAGACCCTGCTTGTCACCAGCTCTCCTGGTGTCAGGGCAAAGAGCACCCAGTCCCCCCACCGGGAGCCCACTGGGACCTCGCTAAGAGCCCCTGGCGACTCGGAATTAGCTCTCAGCTAGCTCCTTCCTGAAGGGGCTCCCTGCCTGGGCACCTGCACCCCCACACCCTCACTCACCTCCAGCCGCTTCCTTACACCCTGCCAGTCCCTGCCCTGTGGGAAGTCGGGTTGCGCCGGGTGGTGCCACTGCCCCTGCCCCCTCGCAATCCGCCCCGGAATCCACGGCCACGAAGAAACCTTCCCGACACTCCGAAGGTCTCCGTGTTGAGCTTCCTCTCCTCGGCCCACGTGGTCCGCCTGGAGCTGAAAAGACGAGGACCGTGAGACTGACCACGCCCACCCCAGCTTCCGCGCCCAGGAGGAAAAGCAGATGTCACTGTCCCTACAGCCAACCCAGGGGCAGCCCGGCACCAACACTGCAGGTGCTCCTGGCCACACTGCAGACCCGTTTCCTGGGCTGCTGGGCCCAGAGCCCGTGCCCCTAAAACCAGCACCTGGCACAGCGCTCGAGGGGCCTCCCTGCTTGCTGGGCCCAGAGCTCGCGCCCCTAAAACCAGCACCTGGCACAGCGCTCGAGGGGCCTCCCTGCTTGCTGGGCCCAGAGCTCGCGCCCCTAAAACCAGCACCTGGCACAGCGCTCGAGGGACCTCCCTGCTTGCTGGGCCCAGAGCTCACACCCCTAAAACCAGCACCTGGCACAGCGCTCGAGGGAGCCTCACCGCTTGCTGGGCCCAGAGCCTGGGGCCGGTCACAAACCTCTAGACAGGATTCCGCTAGGCGAGGAGGGGGCTAGGCTAGATGGGCCGGGTCCCCAAGAACGTGCGTATACTCGGGGTGCTGGGGCCAGCAGCCTCCGTGCTCCACGTCGGCAGGGCTCCTCGGAGAGCGCAGCTGCTGTCCTTGAGGCCACCCCGCTCCCCACACCCGCCGGCACACCCTCAGCCCACCTCAAAGTAGTTGGGAAGCCCAGGCTCTCCCACCACCCGACACCTGAACTACTGGGGTGGCCACCTGCAGCTCCCCTCACTGAAGACCCACGCAGAATGTCAGATGGCTTCCACCCTGGTGACAGCTCCACACAGCGCTGAGTGAAGCCATTCACTGCCATGACCTACAAACCCTGTGTGGACACACCCTACTGCCCGCCCTGCCTGCCCAGAACGGGCTCGGAGACTGGCACACTGCCCTCCGCGCCCACCGCACCCAGCCCACTCCGCTCCACCACCTGGTTACCCCCAAGGCACTTCTGCCCCAGACACGTGTCTTCCTGTCATGCCCTGACCCTGCCAGCAGACCCGAGTGCGGAAGAGCACCCCAGCCTGCTTTCGCCACGCCCTCCGCGCCAGCACTGTGCCTGGCACCCTGCTTGTGGAGAGGAGGGATCTGAGTTCTACAACATGTCTGCTCAGCACGTCTTTTCTTTTCATCCTCGTCCGAGGGCATTTTTCCATTTTTTGTTCCGACAGAGAAGAGAACGAGAGAAACATCAACACAAAAGGGACACACTGAGTGGCTGCCTCCCACATGACCCAACCGGGGCAGGGGACAAACTGCAACCAAGGTACGTGCCCTTGTAGCAAAATCACACCTGGGTCTCTCCAGACCGCAGGCCGACACTCTAACCGCTGAGCCAAACCGGCCAGGGCAGCAGCCGTCTTTCAAAGTCTATCTCGTTCACGGGTAACACCTAAGCACCAGCTGCCGGCTGCTGCAAACAGAGGACAGGATGGGTCCCAGCCTCAAGCATCAGGGCAAAGAGCACCCAGGACAAAACACTCCTAACACTTGGGGAAGGGCCTCAGGCCTCCAGGGTCAGCTGGGGACCAGGAAGCAAGTCCAGAGTCACTGAGGGGGGCCTCAATGGGAAGGGTGCAGAAGCTGGAGGGGAGTGTGGAGCTCGGGCAGGGCCTCAATGCCTGTGAGCCAGGGCCTCCCACACCGCGACCATGACTGATGAGTCCACTGTGACCCTGAGAGATCCGCCCTGAACCTGAGAGCTGAGTGTGGTCGCCAACAGTGAGTCCCGGGCCTGGAGATTTGAGGCAGAGTGTCTGTCTTCCCACCAGCTCATGGGGACCTCACCCCCGTGCCCTCCAACCTGGTCTTAAGTTCAGAGGAAATGTTGTCGAAGAAGGACTTGGACTTGTCGTAGTAGCAGTTGGGCCCCAGGTGGTCCTCCTCAGCAGGGGCCTCATCACTCTGGGTCACCACGGCAGGGTCCTTCTCCTCCCCCTTCTCAGCTCTGTCATCTGCACAGAAAAGCGGAGCCCACTGAGCGGCCGGGACGCGCACAGAGCACCTCTGTCCCAGGCAGGACCCCGCCCGCCGCAGCTGACTGACCATTCTGAGTGACTTCTCCTGCAGCCCCACCGCTGGCCTTCACCCCGGCTGTGCTGCCCGGCCCCACCTGCCCCCCTAGCCCATGGCTCCCACTCTTTCCTTTGACCTGCTCTGTGGATACTCAAGAAACGGGGAAATTTTCACATAAGGACGCAGACCTTTGAAATTCAGTTTCTTCTTAAATTCTTTGTCCAGCTCCTCTCGGTTGAACTGGGCATTGGCACTCTCGAAATCAAAGTCGCCCTCAAACTTGATTGTGTTTTCCTTGACATTGGTTGGGCGGCTTTGCCCCCTGGAGCGATTCCGCGTTCGTCTGTTCCCTGTGAGGAGAGACGACAGTCATGGCTGACGAGGCGCCAACCTGGCATCACCGAGGGCGAAGCAGACGACACAGAGGAGAGAGCGCACATGGCAGCCACCACCGAGCCCCAGCACCCCGAAACCGCGCCCAGAGCGGGGAGCGGAGCGCGCCCAGACGTGGCAGCGGCCGTTACCCGGTCTCCTCCGGGGCCTCCTGTTCTCGTCGTTCACCTGCCCGGGCGCTTGCACAGCGGCTGGCTGGCCCGCATCTAGGGCGCAAGAGGGGCAGTGAGGCAAGCGCCCCCAGAGCCGAGGCAGGGGAGGAAGCAGGTGCACCACCCCGGGGACATGCGGCAGGGCCTGCCCTGTGCAAGCACATGGAGTCTACGGGGTGCGACCCCTCTCCGAAGCCCAGGCAGCAGTGCACGGAGAGGAGGGCGCACACCCCAGGGAGTGAGGGTTCAGTACCGCTGGCGCTCTTGTCGCCTGGCGGGGCCGGGCGCCCGTTCAGCTGCACCCCCACGGTGCCCTTGCCGCCGGGTAACAGCTTTTTGGTGTTCAGGTTATCAAGAGAACCAGTCTGGACAGCCTGCTCCACCATGGGGCTCTTGCCGACTGGGACGGACGGAAAACCGGCTCCTGAGTTGGGGAGAGAAGGCAGGTTGGAAACAGAAAAGCAAGCTCCCAACCCCTGCAGACACTTCTGCTCAGGCCGGCACACCAGGCAGGGGAGAGGCAACCACTCAGAGGGTCTACCCAACCCAGGCAAAGCCCCCTCAGCAGGCCACCCCTCTGCGGCTAGCGGGCAGCAAAGCCAGCTCAGTCCAGGGTGCCCTGAGCCCGGGCTGTGAGGAACCCGAGGAGGGAAACACCCGGCAGCAACAGGCACCACCCAGCTCTGACCCCAGGGCCTTGGAGGTCCTGAGAGGCCGGAGCATTCTCGGGCGAGGTCTGGTCCACGCTGGTCCACACTGAGCAAGAACCAGCCCAGCCTGGGACTGTCCAGAAAGGGCAGCAGCCCACCTCGGAGCTAAGACCCAGGGCACTGGCGCGCTTGCGGGCGGCGGCACAAAAGCAGGGAGGGCGGACACGCGCTGACTACGGAGCGCTCGGCTCCCAGGCTCCCAGGCTCGTGGTGGGGAAGCCCAGGCTTCCCCGCTCCCCTCCAACGGGCTGCACTCCCAGCCCTGAGCCCAGGCACCAGCGCTCAGAAACCGAGCCCGGGCGGGTCCCCTGAAGCCAGAAGAGGACAGAGGGACGGGCCCTACTCGTCAGCTGTCGACTCCCCTCCTGCTTGGCCTGGGTCTGGGTGGAGGCGCGCAAAGGTCTGAGACAGAAAGCCCAGCGCAGACCTCGAGGCACCTAGTCTAAGGGGCGGCCCTGGACAAGTGAAGACAGAGAATCCATCTTCCTTTTCCAGTGGGACAGAAACCAGAGAAACGATGTGGCCAGTTCCTCGTAACCCGACCAAAGTCCTCTGTGGGCTGACCAGACAGCCTCGGCGCTGGCCCCTGCAGGGTCCCTATGATGGGCACTGCCCCAGAGCACTTTCTCTGGCCTGTCCCCTGCCCAGCACAGCCTTCCCCGAGCCACACAGCTCCTGGCCGCTTCCTCATGCTCAAAGGACACGGGGACGCCACCTCGGGCCCATTTGCTTTCTGACACCAGCCGGAACAGTGAAACCATCTTGCCTAGGAGCACTTCCCAGGGGCCTAAGGATAGCGGTGTCCAGAGTGACATGCAGGGGAGAAAACGTGACTCCTTGGTAACCCAAGGACACGTGCAAAGCACAGACCGCCGGGCACTGTCCTAGACTGAGGGACTCCCCACCATGGGGAGCAGCACACGAGGTGCTCAGTGGGCTCCCCGCAGCTTCCCCAGCCATCCAGACCACAGCAAGACCAGCAGAAACCCTGGGAGTCAGCCCTCTGTGCGAGGGCAGTGCTCCCTCATGGCAGCCACGCTGCGGTGAGCCAAGGCCCTCCTTCACAACCAGAGCTACTAAGCCAGGGCTGTGCTGAACCAGAGATGCAGCGTAACTGCTCCACGGGCTCGGCCCGTTCGGTCACAGCCAGGGTCACTCTGGTCTATGGTTTACCCCTTGCTCTCAGGACAGCAAGACAGTGCGCAGTTGTCCCCAACCGCCGTTACCCTTGGAAGTGAGCTGGTGTGGCTCTGAGGACGTGTCAGGCTCTGACACGGGCTGTGGAGATGGAGAGGAGCTAGGGCTGGAGGCTGCGGCTGAGGCTGGAGGGCTTACCAGCTTCTCTAAAAGAAGAGAAAGGAGAGAAGAGCAAAAAGAAAGGGCACGGATAAGTAACGAGAAACTGGTCTTGCGTTCAGCGGGCTTGGAAAGAGCCAAGCGTCTCTCCTGGGACACGCCGCTCACCCCATGTTTTAAACACAGGGAGCCCGGCCCAGAGCACCGCCAGTTAGAAGCAGCAGTGAAGACAACAGGACTCTCAGAAGCAAGGGACCCACACAACCGTCAAGGACCTAGCACACCCTATCGCTAGGGCAGGAGCAAGGTGGACGAGGCTGCCCACCGCCCGGCCTGCCTGCACGGCAAAGACCCTCGCTGTGTGGGGGGCGTCTCACTCCAGGCTTTCCGCCTGGGGAAGCGAAGTTTCTGAGCGAGGCACTGGCGGCAGAGTGGAGGAGGAGGAACTTGGTGGCGCTGAATTTAAGCCTTACATTTACAGGCTCACAGACAGGCGGGCAGGCAGAAACACCAGCAGGCAGACGCACTGTGATCACACCTGGCACTCATCAGGTCTCTGAAACGCTGCACCACGCCCCCAGACTGACGCCAAGTGAATGAGGATGTGGTTCACCTGTCCCAGAGCCCAGACTGCTGCCTCTCCTACTCAGAGAGCAGTCCCAGTGTGCCTCCGCAGGAGCTGAGGCCCTGCTTCCTGGGGGTCACAGCACGGCCGTTTGGCAGACAGACAAGCTACTCACCTAGACCCAAGGAAGCTGCATACTGCTGACTGAGCAGGGAGCTGGCGGCCAGCTGGCTGTAGGACGGCATCCCTCGGAAGGGGCTGTAAGGCACGTGCGGCTGGAAGGAGGAGCCCGAGCCCAGGGAAGACTGAGCAAGGGCACACACAGGTGAGAGTAGCGCCAGGCCCGCCGCCCTGCCCGGAGAGCACCCCCTGCCCGGAGAGCACCCCCTGCCCGGAGAGCACCCCCTGCCCGGAGAGCACCGGCTGAGCCCAGCCGCACCTGTCCAGGCAACTCTCACTGAATTTCTCCTCACTCGACTAAGCCCTCTACTGGCTCCCCACTGCGTGCCACCTTGTAGTTTAGGCTCTGCCAGAGGAGAGACTCATCGTCCTTGGCTTGGCCCTGCCCCCAACAGGAAGGCGCCTGGGCACCCCCATTCCCTCAGGCCCAGTGGAGGGCTTCCCTTGCAGGCCGAGCTGAGCTGCAGAGCCCGAGAACGCTCTAGTTACAAGTTAGGAGAAAACATGAACCCGGGCTCCCTGGAAACCCTGAGTGAAACAGCCCAGCAGGCAGGCTTAGTGCCCACGGCCCTGCAGTCCACATCTGGGCAGAGTTCAGAGCAAGACCTGCTGTCCCTGCTGGCACCTTAGGCCACGCACACCTCGCACTGGGGCTTCAGGTGAGCGCGCACACCTTGTCCTCCCTCCTTCCCCAGCCTGTGACACTGACACCTGGCTGTCTCACTCCACGAAGACAGGCGGCAGGAGTCATGCCTCTCCACAGCGACAACCTGGGCAAAAACTAGCTTTCTGTGAAAAGGCCCTTCCTCAAGTTGAGCGCTCTGGCCAAACATGACAGCAAGTTCCACTTGGACTCCAGCACCCCTTGGCGTGCCCGTGGGAGCCCCACACTCACTTGGACGATGGCGGGGTCCTGAGGGAGCGCGTGCTGAGCTTTTGGAGGTTCACACACTGTAATGTCTTTGATATCACTTCCCCGGAAAATGATGTACTCATAAATTTCCTCTCTTGGAGGGGCAGGCCTATCTGTGGGACGGTCTTCAGTCCCAAAGGACCTCACTTCGGAGCAGAGAAAAAACACACATCTGTTGTCATCCTCAGCCAAGGGCATTCAATCCTCCCTGCCCTGGGCACCATCTTACAACCCAGCACTGGGCTTCCACACTTCAACTACACCCCCCACCCTGATTTTCTTTTGTTAATCCTCACCAGAGAATGCTTTTTCTATTGATTTTGAGAAAAAGTATTGAGTGAGAGAGAAAAACACAGACATCCATGTGAGAGACACATCAATGGGTTGCCTCCAGCACGTGCCCCCACTGGGGCTGGGAGTCGAACCTGCAGCACCCCCCACCCCTGGATTTTCAACGGACAATACCCACAAGACCCCAGTTAGCAAAGCTCCAAAAAGTTCTAGGTCACAGAAACAAAGAGCAACTCGCGCGGCTGTCCCCTGAATGGAATCGGTGTGCTCGCAGGACAGGGCCTGCTTTGCAGACTCCCCTTCACATCTTACTTGGCACTTAAAAGCCCAACAGCTGCTTTTTGACGGGAACCTCATGGTACATCAGTCCTGAGCAGTCCCTTTTCTTAGGAGACAAATGAACAGATTGACAGTGTCCTCGCGCCCTTCTACCCATACCAGCCTGGGAGGAGCCCTTAGAGAAACCATGGGAGAAGGGGACCCAGGACTTGATCCACACCACAAGTTCCTATGTCTCTGGAGGGACTTCCTGACCCCTCCGGGCAGGAGCCCAACCAAGTCTCTCCTTCTTAGGTCTCCAGGGCGACCACTATCTAATCTGAGCACAGCCCCTGTTGCTGCGGACAAGGGGCTAACTCTGGGTCTCACTTTCTCCAACTGAGACGTCATGCCAAATGTGGTCAAGGGCCCAGATCACCAGGGGGCGCGCACCTCGTGACACTGAACTATCTCCAGAAGCAGTGCAGCCTGTGCCAGGACTCGAGCCCTAGGCTTTACCAGGGGCCATGCCCAGTGTCCTGAGGCCTGGGCTCCCTCTGACACACAACCCTCAAGGCTCTGCCTGGACACTGCAAGGCTTAGCGCGAGCCGCTGGCCTACCAAGACCCAGCACACAGGGCTTCTGCAGACCCGGCTGCACTCAGCCCTTCTCTAGAAGCGACAGAGAAAGGACACTCGTCCTCTTTCCCAGAGAACGTAGACAAAGAAACTTTGAGGCCACTTCCTGCCTCAACAAGCCCAGGGAAGAGCCACAATCCAGCCGTCTTCCACCAAGTGTCCCAGAGGCCTCAGTATAGTTCCCGGTGCAGGGGGGCATCTGTCCCTCAACGGTAAACCCAAAGACTGCCTGTCTGGGTGGGGTCGGCAAACGCCTTCAGTGGGGCACCTAACTGCGCTGCTCCCCTCCGGGCATGAGGTTCCCATAAGACGTGGTATGGTGCTTGTTCAGGCTCAAGGCCCCGGCTGCTTAATAGCTTCCAGAAGGGCTCGCGGGAGCCGGGTTTGCTCAGCCCCCAGCCTTCTGGGGAGGCCCGGGGGAGACTCGGGCCCCTCGCCCCCACAGGGACCGGGATGGCGGCGCCAGCTGCCCCGCGGGCAGGTGGGGAGAACAGCCCAGCAACCGACCGCCACCTGCAGAGGTGGGCTGCGCAGCGGAGGGGGAGGCGCCGCGGGAGCTGGACCCGCCCCACCTCCCCGCCCCAACGCGGCTGGGCGGGCCGGCCGCACACAATAACGCCGGGGCTGGGGGAGACGCAGGGCCGGCAGGGCCCCGGGGGTCCAAGCGGAGGCGGGGCGGCGGTGGGACGGGGCGCCGGAGGTTGGGGCAGACCGCGAACGCCCGAGGGGGGGCTGCGCGGGGACCTGCGGGGGGCGGCGGGAGGGGTGAGGGAGTGAGGAGGCCCTGCGGGGAAGGGGATGGCCGAAGGATGGAGCCCCGCGGGGAGAGGGCCGCGGGGGGAGGGGGCGGCCGGGGGCGGAGGCCGGGAGAGGGGGCGCGGGCCAGGGCGGCGGGGGCCCGGGTGGGGGTGGGGCCGGGCGGTTGGACGCCGCGGGCCGCTACCTTTGGCGAGCGCCACGGTGGAGTTGTCCGTGTCGATGGTGTAGAGGATGCCCTCGTAACGGATCTGCGCCTTGGAGATGAGGCTGATCTTGCTGCCCAGGTACGGGGTGCCCGAGGAGCCGCTCATGGCGACGGCCTCCCGGCGGGGCCTGGCCCGCTCGCCTCCCCGCGGTCGCCTCGCCGTCCGCTCCGCCTCCGCACCTCCTCACCGTCGCCGAGGAGCTCGCGTGGGGACCAGCTAGCGAGCGGCGCGCGCGGCCGGGGTCTCCGAGGGGAGCGCGGGGGAGGAGGGGCCGCAGCAGCCACATCCGGGACCTCGCGCTGCCACGCCCCGCTGTGCACGCTCGCCGCCCATTGGTTCAGTGCGCTGGCCTCCCTTTAAATATGGCCGCGCCGCCTGCCGGGGGGGCGGGCCCACGCTCCGCGCCTGCGCAGCTAGCCCCGCCAGCCGGAGCAGGTTTTCTCCCTCTCTCCGCCCCTCTCCTAGGTCGGCTCCCAGCGGGCCCCGCGCGGGGAAGGAGCACGAGACCCAGCGGGCGGGTCTGGGGGAGGGGTGGGAACCGGGCGGTGTGGAATGCGCGTGCGCCGGGTGGGCCGGCGGGCGGGGACAGAGATGAGGTGGATGGGCGGAGTTGGGAAGTTGTGGGGGCGGGGCGGGGCGCGCGTGCGCCGGGCGGGGACAGCGCTCTAGGCCCCGCCCACCGCGCGTGCCGGTTGCACCCGGCGCCTAGAGTTGCGCCCTGCGTCCCTCTGGCCTGGGTTTCCCTGCTGCAGAAGCGCCCGCAGTTTCTTCCCCCTGGGGTGGAAGGTCGTCTAGCTGGGGTGTGTCCGACCTCCCCTTCCCCAGCACCGGCGGCTCAGAGTTTCTGTCCTGGAGGTGGAAGCCGGGGTGGGGTGGAGTAGTCCCTGCGCGGCCGGGTGAAACCGGGGGCCCGTGTCTTGTGGGGTGGTCCCCGCCTCCCTGGACGAAGGCGGAGGCCCCTCTTCTGGGGGCGAAACAGGTCCGTATCCTGGAGCGTGAAAGCAGGAGCCGGGGTCCCTGCCCCCCGGGGTGAAGCCTGGGGCACCCTCGGGGCGTGGGGCCCAGTGGTTGCTGCGGGCAACGCGCACTGCGCTTCCGGCGCGTCAGTCACTAAATATAAGGAGCTGAGCGCATCTTCTGCTTGAACCCTGCTCTCCCAGACCTGCGGTGGCGTCGCTGTCCCTGGAAATAAATACCCCCGCCACCCGGCCCAAAGCCCCGCCCGACCTGGCCGGCGAGCCGCCTGGCCCGGCTGCCCCGAGGCCTGCCCGTTCCCCGGCTGTGAAGTGGAGGAACCGGCCGCCCTCGGGGTGGGCTCGCCTCCCCGCCCAGCGCGCAGCTCCATTGGGGCGGGCGAGCCCTGGGTGCTTGCTTTCTGTCGGCCGCTCCCTCTTGACAGTGCACTGTTGGGTCCTGGAAAAACCTTAGTGGGTGGTGACCAGTGTTTTACAAAAATAAAGCAGAATAAGATAGAAAATATCAGAAAGGCTCTCGCGTAAAGTATTGCTTTGTGTAACAGTTATTTTTCCTTCACGTATACATAGTATTTAAGTGGGTACTTGTTCAGGATGTGCAATGTATTTCTTTCCGTGAGTACTAGGAAGAAAAGGGAAAGCCACTGCAGAGAACCTACCTGCCAAGCAAGGTGGGCGTTCTGACTCCACTTCCCAGGACAGTCGAGGGGCGGCGGGCTCCTGCCCTTTGGGAACCACCCCCCAGTCCCACCTGCACCCGGCAGCATCCCGTAAGAGAACAGTAATGAGTTTGAGAAAAGGGAAGTCTTCAAAATGTAGCTTCCACCATGTGCCTGTACGTTCCAGAATTGCTTCTTGGCTCCTGGAAGATTAGCTGGTGAGAATGGGGGCAGCCCAGCCCCAGTAAGAGAGAACAGGGAGTCCTGGCCGGTTGGGCTCGGCAGTTGGAATGTCAGCCCAAATACCGAAGGGTCCTCAAGGGCACATGTTCCCTGTCAAGGGCACATATCTGGTTGTGGGTTCGATCCCTGCCTCTGTTGTGCAGGGAGGCCACCAATCGACGTCTCTCTCTCTCCCCCTCCCCTCCCCACTCCTCCCCTCCCTTCCACTCTCTAAAAATCAATGGAAAAATACCCTCAGGTGAGGATTAACAACAACAAACATGTTTTTTTTTTTTAAGTTTAAAAAAAAAGAGAAGGGTCAGAACACAGAACTCACCCTCAGCACAGCACGACCTTCCCCAGGGTGCACCTGTCTGGAATAAGTGTTACCCCAGTTCTCCTGAGCAGCTCACATTCTCCTTCCCCCACTTTTAGGTTCAGAACAGGACTTGTCCAAGGTCACGGATTCTGTGCCTCACTTCCGGTGTCTGAGCCACAGGCTCTGTGTGTTGGGGGTGGGCTGGAAGCCTATCTTTGAAAGGGTTGGATCCGGAGCCCCAGGGCCAGGGTGAGGTGCAGTTCCTGGAGCTCACAAGTCTCCTGTAAGTGCAGCTGGGTGCCCCCCCCCCCCCACATTAGCCACACTGCAAATACCTAGGGAGAGGCTAAAAATAGATGTGGTGCACAGGTCCAGGAATGCTGGCCCCACCGTTCCCTGGGTGGTGTGCTGCCCGGAGTTGGGGGCAGGGTGGGGCGCTTGCAAAAGGTTTGAGAAGGGGAGCAGCTGTGCCAGGACCTAAACTTGATCCGGGAGCCGGTTGATGCGGCGTGTGCTCCAGGTGTGGATACACGGCCTCAGCACCTCCATCTTAAACAGCTCTGCGCGGTGCCCACCCACTGCTGAGCAGAGGGGTGTACAGAGACGAGCTGAGACGCTGGGCACCCTGAGCAGGTCAGGCTCCCTGTCTTGGTTTCTCCATTTACCATATGGAGATGACAGCACCCCTGCCCCTCTCGCTGATAGATGAGGATCCCACAAGATAGTGGCCGCGAAGGACTTTGAGAGGGGCCAGAGGGCCCACAAGGCAGAGGCAGCTGGCGAGGTTTCCACTGCAACTTTGAGCCACTTACTAAACACCGCCTGTGTGTATGGAGGAGAGGAAGCAGCTCCTAGTAAAGGCAGGTGTGACTGCGTGGGCATGGGACCCTGCCCTGGGTGCCATCGCCAGTCTAGTGGGGTCACACGGCCAGCGTCCTGCAGCAGGTGAGGGGCACATCACCCCAGAAAACCACTGTGACTAACACAACTTCAAAAAGAATGACCACACGACTGTTGCTTCACCGGCATCAACGCTTAGTAGGAGCAAAACAGAACAGGTGAGTTGATTCAAAGAAATGTTAACAACAGGTGGCCCAGCCCTGGCCAGTGTGGCTCGGTTGGTTGGTTGGGTGTTATCCAGTGCACCAAAAGTTTGCTGGTTCTGTTCCCCAGGTCAGGGCACATGCCCTGGTTGTGGGCTCAATCCCCAGTAGGGGGCGTGCAGGAGACAGCCAATTGATGTTCTGCTCTCACATTGATGTTTCTCTTCCTTCCTCTCTCTAAAAGCCAATAAGAATATTTTAAAATAAGCAGAAATCAAGGCAGTGGTCTGAAGTGTAGGAATGAAGCAAGACCTGGCCTGTCCCCTCCTGTCCTTCAGGATGGAGCAGGGGGAGGGGCAGATGTTCACCCTCATGAGAGCTGGGAGCCAGGAGCTAAGGGGTGGGAGGGAGCTGAGGGGATTTCAGTGGGCTTGGTGGGGAGGTCAGGGCTGGCTTTGAAGGTGTCACTAGGAGGTCATTGGGCAGGGAGACGAGCTGGGAGGCCCAGGGGGTGGGTCAGGGCACCTGACCCAAGCTGTGATCCTCCGTAGACAGGAAGGAGGGTGGAGCTGGTCCCCCAGGTCTGACCTGCTCTCTGAATCCTGCTAAAATCTATCTCCTCCCATGCTGAGTCCACAGCTTCCTGACCTCACAGCCCCTCCGCTCCCTTCCCCTTCCCCCTTCTCTACTTTTCTCTCTCTCCACCTTGTCCCCCGCTCTTTCCTGTGCCCTCCCCCCGCCCCATGCCCTGTCCTGGCCTCTCCTGGCGGATGCAGGCTGAGTCTGCTGCGGGGATGTGGGAGTCCACAGCTCAGGGTGCCTCCGGCCTACCCCCACCCTAGGTGTGAGCTCTTCCACAGCTGGCCTCTAGTTCCGGCCAGAGTTGCCTCCTGGACCTTGCCTCCCAGTGGTCCCCTAGGAAGAAGGGACAGGACGACAAGGCACCAGGGCCACGGTGAGGGTGAGCAGTGGAATGTGGGGTATGGGTAAGGGGAACGTGGGCCCCCGAGTGTTCCCGAGACACTGCCCTGCATAGTTTTTTGTTTGTTTTTCTTTATTGATTTTAGAGAGAGGGAGAGGGAGAGAGAAATAGAAACATTGATGAGAGAGAACATCCACTGGCTGCTTCCTGCACGCCCCCTACTGGGGATCAGGCCCACAACCTGGGCATGTGCCCTGACCGGGAATTGAAGCAGCGACTTCTTGGTGCGTGGGTCGATGCTCAACCACTGAACCACACTGGCTGGGCGGAGTCATTATTATTTATCAATAAAAGATAGTTCTGAAGATAGAATGGCCATTCAGATGGTTCATGGTGGTGCCTGCCCTGATGGAAGGTTCTGGAGCAATATGAGTGGACTTCACAGCGCAAAGGGTGGAGAAAGAGACACACGGAGAACGAAGGGCCTGACCCCTGTGTGTCGAGTCCCAGGCAGGCCAACACAGGCAGGCTGTCAGAGGTCCGGAGGGTGGTCACCCAGGCCCAATGGCTGGGAGGGGTCCCGAGGTGGGTGGGCTTTCAGGCTGGTCATGGGTGCTGGTTCTTCTGGCATGCACATGCCATTTGTGAAAATCCTTCAAGCCGAACACTCATGACCTGAGTACTTTTATGCACGTGTATGTTATGCTTGGAACCAGTTCTTTAAAAAAAATTTTTTTTCTTGATTTATTTTAGAGAGAGAGGAAGGGAGAGGGAGAGAGAGATGGAAACATCAATGAGAGAGAACATCAATTGGCCACCTGCACGCCCCCCACTGGGGATTTGGCCCACAACCTGGGCACGTGCCCTGACCAAGAATCGAACTGGTGATCTCTTGGTACATGGGTCGATGCTCAACCACTGAACCACACCAGTCCAGCTGGAGCCAATTCTTCATGCTCTTGCTAAGTGGCCACGATGGCCATTGTACACTGAGCCCTGCTCTGTGCCAGCCCACTGCAGCCCATGCTGAACCCCTTTCCAGTCCTGGGAGGTAGATGCTGCATTCCAGAGGTGAGGAAACCGGCCTAGGTCAGGTGCTCAG